TCTACCCAACTCAAAGCTCCCTGCTTCCGTCTACCTGTCCCAATCTTCTTTGACGTTGCCTTTGACTTGCTAGAGTATTGTCCACCGAAGTGCAAGTGGCAATCCTAGTACGATCAGAGTCAACTATTAGTTGGTTGATAACATTTCACCTGAAATGGTGCAGTTATCTACCATAGTTTCATTTCTCATGCTAACTACACTCTGCAGACAAACTGTGTTTTAATCTGTAATCAGGTGATCAAGCAAGTATGAGTCCAGAGACTGGTCTACTCGTGAGGATATGCACTGCAGTAGCCATGCTACTCTGATATCCCGAATTCTAGGTGAGACGACCCCATGAATTCCGTACTACATTTCCCAGCCTTCTTGCTGCAGCTGCATTCTTGAAGACTCCCATAGATGCTTTGACTCAATTTTATTGCACGTGTGATGTCTATTCATATCTCCAGTTGGCAGATGTGTACTGCTCATCAGGAGCAAATAAAACAAGTGAACTCAGAGGATGTCTGCAGCCTGGATAGCCTAGATCAGCCCATCTCCATTAGGGTATGTAAATACTTCACTCACCCGATGTGAGAATATCTTATAATTCTCCTCATTGTACCCTCTACAGCAAGAATGAATCTATGTAAATATCGACGAGCTCCACAATGATCAGCCAGGCGGTTGAAGGCATTCTGTTATTTCGCCTGTAAATTCTTCATTCCCAGAGCCAGACAGCACCTCATACACTCAGCTCGAATTAGAAGTGCAAATATTTCCTCGTGCTACTCCCCTGCAAATATTTCCTCACACTACTCCCCTGACCCTCACCATTATCTGGACTGTTAACTGCTCTGTGGCTCATATGATACAATACATTTCAGCCTTCCTTTCTAATATGAATGAAATCAAGGCACTCGGGAATGAACTGGAAATCATATTAATTGATTATGTAGCGGCAAATTCCTTCGTATTTGTCACCCTGCATTTCACCAGTTCCAGCACATTGTATTCCTTCCTATTCTTGCTCATCAGATCCTCTGCTTCATGACAACCAATGATAGCATTCACCATTCAGCGCTGCTTCTCGTCAGCCACACATTACCAGGATGTATCCATAAAATGAAGCAGATACCTTAGATGGTTTTGTCACCTGCTGAATATGGATAGGCTGCACATTCTCGATGTGTTGCTTGAGGAGGAGTAGCATCCCTTTGGCCTGGTACAGCGCTTGATGATACACTCACTTGAAGTTTCTTCCTTCACCTCTCACAATTTAATATACTGCCAGTAGGTATTATTACATGCAAGATCATACCTTGCTGAAGATATCTCTAATAGACCAGTTCAAGTATATCAAGATCATCTTCACTGCATGATTTTACCTGCAGAGCTAAGTATCTTCGAATGTGGACATTTTGAAAGCTCCCCTGCTTAGTGTGCACTTAGATGTTCATGCGTCTTTCGAGCGCAGGTGGAGTACACTGCTTGGAGAGACCTTGGTGTTGTTGTGTCCTAGACTTCCATCCACTCGCTTGCTTGCCATTGCCAGATAATAGAAGAATGGGACCCATCAACTGATGGGGCAAGAGATAGAGCCCCATCTCCAGCAGCGGAAATTACTGTTCCATTCAAGTATTTTCTTGTGTGTCCCCATAATGATAATTTACATTTCTTTCATCAATCTTGATGTTGTCTCTCAATCTTCATGACCTTTCACATATATTACAATGCTATTTGGTAGATGGTGAACTGGTCAGAATGCCAGCCATTGACACTCCTGCTGTTCAACAAAGGATAATATCACTTATAGACCATCGAGCATTGGTTGCGGCCCGGTCCTTCTGTGACCACATGGACTTTAGGGCAGGGTTCCAAGTCATACCATTTACTATCACTAGTTATACTGCATTTTCCCTCTTGGACCTAGCAAGACGGTTACAACATAGGTGCATTCTGAATTTGATACTCGAGGCTACCCAGTGCAAGCAGCATATGGTCGTAAGTCTTGTTCTAGTGCTCTCTCATGCTATGTATGACCTTCTCCAGAATTCCATAAGGAACACAATCCAAAACACAGTGCCAGATCTATCGTTACAGTCATCTGAAACTGCTACCAGAAAGGTAACTGGTTTCATGGTGAACAATATTCCTATCACTGATCTGCTCTCCAGATGGCTGGTATCTGCTCCCTTCCTCAGGAACTTGTTGACAAAATCATTGATGAGATATATAATGACTCAGACCCAGAGACTGCACAGTGCACCCTGGAATCGTGTGGCCTCATCAGTAGGATCTTCGTCCGCAGGACTCAAGAGCACCTATTCCACCATATCATGATTAGGTCGATCCTCAAGTGTCAAAGAATCCTTGCATGCTCACAAGTCCACTCATTCGCCATGTCCCTTACCATCATCCTTCAGTATCTGTGTCACTGTGATAAAGTATATCACATGATATCCCCTCCCAGGGAGCTTGCCTTACTCATTGACACACTCCATCATGTCAATACAATCAAGCTCTGTGGGATGGACTGGAAAGAAGTACCTCAGGGATTGATCGATTCCCTGACATCATGTTCCCTCATATCCATCACTCTTATGTACACACACTTTCATGATTCCAATGCTTTCTATTCATTCCTATCCCGCTTGCCCACTCTTTGTCAGATCTCCTGCTTCAAGACAACCATCGATAGCAGCGAGTGGCCTCCTTTCAGCGCTAATTTTGATGCATCTCATCAGCCGCATATCACTGAGCTGTCTCTCTGTAAAATGAATCAGATACCAGCCATGATTTGTCACCTGCTCTCTCCCCGGTGAATCTGGGAGGGCTACGTGTTCTTGAGGTATTTATAGACAAACTTGACCAGTTTGATCAGGCGCAGCACTTCATAAACTTCACAATGCAATCTCTCGAAGTTCTTCATGTCTTGCACTTGATCATGCCACCAGTAGGTATTACATGCTCTCTGTCTGGGTTGATGATAACCCACTGATGTTATCAATATCTTTACAGATCGGTCCGAGCATTTTCCCATTGAACACGTGAAATATATCATGATCGAGATAAAGTGTTGTCACCTAGGTGTCTTCAACTGGTGGATTGAACATTTTGAGATTTACCCAGCAATGCGATGCTCTTGTGTGCACCTCCTTGTCTGCAGAACCTTAACTCAGGTAAATGCATTAGCGGACACTGCTTGGAAGAGATTGGATATTGCTCTATCTCAGACTTCCATCCACTCACTTGTTGTTACTCTCTTCATGACGAATGCCAGGACATGACCCTTGAAGTATTCCCCTGTCAAATCCTTGATCAATGAAAATCTCCCTATCTTGATGAGTTGCAAGATTGTGCATGTTCAGCTTGGTATGTACAATGGTGTGTGACCTATTTATATATACTGAATTGTGATAACTGACTCCTCCTGGCTTTCATAGATGTTATAGGCAGAAATTTTCTTATAGACTAAGGAAGATGTTGAGCATTATCTTGCTTCTGAGTATTTGGAGTATTCATGTCTCTTTTTTTTTCTTTTGTATAACTATAATTTTCCGAGAGGGGCACTGGAAAATTGGATTGATTGCCCATCGCTGATCGAGCTCATGTAAATAGAAGTAAACTACTCCTAGCGACCACGACAGCTCATTGTGAGAAGTAATGACAATTGTAGCAGCATTACCTACTAGTGCATGACTCTGAACTAACAGTGAATTCCACATCATGCATTCTCATCCCACAATAGCCAAGGGTGCAATAGCGACAGCACGGGTTTTGATTCCCCAGCTATGTATTGTGAATTCCTTCCCAAAATTTATGTTTGCTTCCCTTTTCCTTGCCCCGCATTCAAGTTGGGGTACGATTTCGCTTTCATATGTGGAATGGGTGTTTGACCATTGTATTAAATACAACTTATTTTTTTGGGAACCGTATGTATCAGCACTCAGTATAAGTATGGGTAAGTGCAGACTCCAAATTATGTCTGTGTAAACTATGAGGCTTATGACGGGGAATAGGTGTTCGGAAGAGAAGGAGTGAAGGAATTGGAAGGCTTGTCGGATACAGTTTAATCTTTGCAAGAAAGATGTGCTGTTCCTGTTATGGTCCTCGATACAACTCATGACACATGGAAGAAGCAAATAGGAATATGGAAAATGTATCCATAGTGCTGCATTGTTTGTGAGTTGTGGGTTGTTCATCAGTCTGTCTCGGGTTTTCAGAAGATGAATATCAGGTAATCTTAATCTGCTTTCCCATCCTCCTCTTGCTCATGGAAATATAATGAAAGAGAATGAATCCCTCCCCAATGCCATCTGTTACCTGCTCTTCTGTGCAAAAGCACACTGAACAGGTTTTTCTGATGATGATGTGCAGGTCCCTCAATGGATTCTCATCTACTAGCCCTGATGTCACTTGTGCTGGGGTTTGAGTCCCCATATCCTAATGCGGCACGCCTCTACTGCAATTGCGTTTTGGTATGATATGCCTGAGGTCAATTCGATGCCATATGCATTATCTTGTACATGCACCCATTGGCCGAATGGTTACTTGACAGTTCAGCTTGAGGTTCGATTCCTCGTATGCAAATATCGCAATTTCATCCCAATTGTTTTAGGGCTGGATTTGATAAACATTGAAGATGAAGGTATGGCTCCTTCTATCCGAGTTTTTGACTTTCTTTCTATTGGCGAAAGGTGTTTCATTGTTTTACATGTTGTTAGTTTGCATGCATGAAACCGCTCAAGTGTTGACCATCTGGCCCTTGGGGTTCAAGAATCAATTCCCCATATCCTGACCGACTGTTCAGATGGGTTGATGAAAATTAGCCATGCTCCGGAAATGAGAAGGAAATGATCCCGACTACGAGACATTTAACTCATTTTCTTTATCATTCGCTGATGCGGCAGGTAGTCATAGTTTAGTCTTCAGTGATACGGATTCACGGCTGGTAAACTGGTAAGTCACTATTCAGGATTTATTTGTAGTGCTTCACTCATACAATATGGTGTACATGCTTAAAATACGTAGAATACATCCAAAGAACGACAAAGTGTTTCCCATCTCTCCTGATCTTCCAAATCCAAAAGCGCAAACTCCCCAGGCTGTTCGAATTGTAATCGTTCCAGCCTTCGACAATCACCAGGACTCCCGCTTTCATACCGAGATTCTGGCATTCGGATAAACATTTTCACGTCACATTCTGGTATGCTGGGTGCAATTTCAAGGGTATGTAAAGAGAGGAGGAGGGAATTTTTCTTTTTCCCCTCTGCGAGAGTGAGACCACAGAGCATATCATCAGGTATGATGGTGGTGGAAAGCCGGAGTAGCATGATATGGGGTGTCAGAGTGAGGAATCTAAGGAGCAGCTTGGTATTATCGGAATGGCCAAGGTCACAGTTGATGTGTAGGCTCATAAGCGTTGCCGATCCCTCAAACCTAGTAGGAAACGTGGATCGAGATGCCTTGGTGAACATGAGTGATAAGAATGTAAGCGATGGGAGCCTGAGGGCATTGAACAAGCGAGCCATGGACCCTTCACATTTCTTCTCTTTGAACTCGAGTCTCTCCACGCAAGGCATGATGATCGCACGGTCCATCAGACCCAGATTATTCATTTTGTGAACTCTGAGAATAAGCCTCTTTGCAGATGTTAGTTGTCGAAGCACCCGGACACAATGATGGCTGGATGCATCGGAGCAGGAGAACGTTTCGATCTGCTTCCATGGAAGGTTGAGGAAGCTGCATACCATTGCGTTGTGCTTTGAGTGGAAAACGCGAAGTTCTGGAGCATATATGACTTTATTTCCAGTATGTGATAATTGAATATATTCTTCCTTTTGATGAGAGAATTGATTTCGAATCTCTGAAGGACTGGGAAAGAGTTTTTCGTGAGATATTTGATGGATTCAGGGCATAAATTAATAGTGAGATCGGTCCATTGGGGGATGGTAGCCTTGAGGAGACCGAGTACAGAATGTTCACTGACGCAGTAGTTGGACCATAGAGAGATGGAGAGATCGCACTCCCGTGGGCGTTTCAGGTATAGCCCGACTCTGAACATGTACAGACCGTCTGAGAAGCCAGTTTCGTACTGATCGAGGTCAAGTGCGATGTGAGACCAGAGCATTGGGCATGCGAGGGTAATGGTTTGCCATCTTTGGCTGATGTGGGATATGGACCAAGGAGAATGATGGGGGTTAAGAGAATCGAGGGTTTTCTTGATGTGCATGGTGTGGAACATGCTGGATATGCACCATGAGAAGATCTCTAGGAGTATGTCGTTGCATATGAAGCGGATGGGGTGTAAGATGATTTTAGCATCGCAGATGATGGTTTCTGCTTCTTTTTTCTAGCGCTTGAGCGAGGCGAGGGTTTCCTGTGCTAGGGAGATCTGTGTGTTGAGTTTGGATAGTGTGGATTGGCTGTCACAGAGAATGGATTGGAGGTAGTCTTTCTTGGCTGGAAGGGGTGGTTTGTTTTGGGATAGGAGCACCTTGATGCGACGGAGCAGCGCATCATCCGAAGCAATATGTCCTCGGTGTGTGGAAGAACAAGCAGACATCTCTATATAAAGTATATTTTTTTAGCAGAGTGCGTAGATATGATGCTCTTTCACTCACTTGAATATAGGAGCAGCACGTATCGTGGTTGTTGGTTAAGCCCTGTTTGAGATTCACAGAGTGAGAGCAGAAAGGAGGTCATGCCGAGGCGCCACATGTGTGGGTCCAGAGTCATGCTGATTTGAGCGAATTGACTTGTTGCTTGACTGGTTTGAGCATAAAAAAAATATCCAATTAAAATGTTGGATGGGTTGAATTTCCCAGAGGGGCACATGGGGACCACTAAGCCCTTTTGCGAGCTGTATCTTCTTCCCCAGTGTCTGTATGCCTTTCCCCTGCTTAACTGAATTGTTTTGTTACCAAGTGTTCTGAGACCAAGGTCAGTTTTGTCAAGCTGATTCAGTATAAGGTGTTATTTTCTCATCAGACCCGGGCTACATACGTACTTCCAGCCGGTGCATTCGAGAGAACACTGACGAACTTTGGTCCCATCTAGAATTCTGGTACTCCCTCTACGAAGCTACTCCTTGCCAGACATTTCCTTGGAATGTCGTATGTAAATCTTTCCCAACACGCTCCTGGATGCGAACCCGATCTGAATTGCATCGACAGAGGTTGCTCTATAATCCACAGCACAAAGAAGTATGTCTTGTACGTGTCACTTTTCAGTTTTTTTCGGAGACCACGGCTTATAGTGGCGAGGGAACAGGGTGTATCTTAGCCCGAAGGCGTTAATCCGTCTCAAAGAATTGCATGGAGGAATAGCTATAGAGGTAGGCCTTTGCGGTATGATAGCACTTTGCGAACATGGAAACATGGGTGAGTGGCTGAGTTTTGACGTGTATGTGTTACTTCACCCCTTTTGCCAGTCGTCATATAGATATCCCGTCTAGTGGCTGTGGTAAATTACACAAGGGTTCAAGTCCCCAAGGTCCAATGCTCCTCTACAATAATGCTTTTTATTATCACATTTGTCGCTGAACAAACCTCCTTTTGAAGAGCACTTCTGCACTCATGCTTGGGGGTTTGAGTCACACGCATCGAAAAAATACATAAAAGCAGACACAAATGCACACTCGGAAGGAAGGAAGGGAATCGAACATGCCTTAGAGTCGCAGTCTTTGTACGAAAATACAATCCATCTGCTACTTGCTCTTGGAATTTGTTTTTCTAACCAAGAATCTGGCACAGATTTATCCTGGGTGAGAAAACAAAACACCGTAGGAAGTACCCGTAAAAATGCATGACGACCAGTTCCAATAATATATACCACCGTCCCAAGCATAAGCATAAACAAAAAGATATATGAAATGCATGGACCATTGGCAGATGAGCACAAGGAAGGGGTCGAACTTCCATAGGCAGGGGGAAGGGACCACTGCACCTCTTGCGCTTGTAGTCCTACTTGGATGAAAATAATGAACTTCGAGTGTTTGTGCGTAGGACAATCCTATGGGAGAGGTAATACGAGTTCAATGTGTAGCATGTGACGTCCAGCCTGCAAATGATTGTCAGGTGATGCCTAAGTCTTTTGATTGGAAGGGTTACAAAAGCAGACGTAAGAGAGTGAAATCACGTCCCAAATACACGGCAATCTAATCCGGACTACTAACTTGCCTCCAAAAAGCAGGTTCCAACCACCTACCCCACCCTCCAATCCTCCAATCCAACACACTCAAACCCCACCGCCCCACCCACCCTGGCCCTCCCAGGCGAACAAAGCACCTTGTTCCCAAACATTACACACCTCGCGGAGGAGCCCTCCAACAAGATTTATCGACGTACAAACCATACACCCCGTCGTCCCCGCCACCGAAACTGAGGTAATCGGGTTCGCAGAGGGCGATGTAGGAATTGCGGCCAGTGGGTTTGTACACTGAGAGCTTGCAGTTGGAGTACCTCCATAGGAATTTGCGAAGGGTGAGAGGAGGAAAGGAGGGAGGAAGAGGACAGGACTTACGATTCACCGCTGCCATAATACCCTCTCCCTCTGCTCTGCCGTATTCCATCGCCTAGAAACGCACTGAAGATAGTGTCACCATCGTCTTTGATGACGACGAGTGCGCCGGCAGGTTTGGGTTGCTCGGAGAGGGAGTAGAGGGCGTTGAGTGATATACCGTGTTGATCTAGGGAGTAGAGGAGGGTCCATATGCGTGCGAGATGCGACAGCGCAGGCAGACGCGGTTGAATCTATAGTCGGGTCAGCTTAGGAAAATTAAGACGAAGGGTGTACGCACCATATTCGCTAGCACAGCATTCAGCATGCCCGCCGTACACTCTCTCCTCCCTCTTAGCTCCACCCATCTTCGCTATCTCCCATATTCGGGGGAGGAGCTGACAGAGCCTTCTCATATCGATGCTCCTTATTCCCCAACACCCTCTCGAGTTCCTTGGAGAACCCTATATCCCAATCGTATCCCTCCCCATGGTAGCCCGGTGCGCCCGTCGGTGAGATGTACACCACAGAGGACGTCTCGGAGGCACTGCTGTGTGGTGCGGGCATTGCCGTTGAGGATGTGGGTGTATAGGAGAGCGGGAGTTGTGGTACCAAGATGACGGGTGTGATGGATACTAGCGAAGATGAGAGACTGGAGGTTTTGGTACTGAAAAACGATGACATACAAGGAATTAGACGGGGAAAAGCTCCACATCGCGTTGAACGTTTATACGCGACTGTACGACTCCTCCCTGATACGAAAATATCTGCTAGTCTGCTTCATGGCTGTACGCGGAAGATTTGTTTCTGTATGGTCGAGTGAATAAAGGGCTTGACTGGAAGGCTCAGAAGGACGTGAACATACGAAATTCCATCGCCAGAGTGCTTATGAAGGCGGTTGCTGAATCTGCAACAATGCAACGAGAAATTGTATCTGCTTCATACGGGGTAATGACAGTAGCGAGCATATCAGGCTGTGAATAGAGCGTGCTTAGCAACATCTCTGCTAGTCGGGGGAGTGGCTGAGTGCGCGCGCGCCTGGGAGATGTGAGAGAGCAGAGTACTACATGTAGATGTGCATATAGTCAGCTTGATACCACGAGAATTGTAGTGCGCGCACCAGATTCAGTAGCCCTGTGTTTTTACACACCGGCAATGCCTCCCTCCTCTCTTCCAAAACTCCGACCTCTTCTTGAGTCCAGCCCAGGAGATGAATGTAGTCACTTTAAGAGCATCTTATCTTGATCTGACTATGGTCTGGCATCCAAGGTTAGTATGAACAGAGTGCTCACTGTTCGCAGCAGGGGAGAAACTCGGGATCGGCAAGTTCCGGATGCCGATCAAGCAGACATCTCTATATAAAGTATATTTTTTGAGGAGAGCTCGTAGACTTGATGCTTTAACTCACCTGAATATAGGAGCAGCGGGTATTGTGGTTGCTGGTTAAGCCGTGTTTGAGTCTGACGCAGAGAGAGCGGAAAGGAGGTCATGCCGAGGTGCCGCATGCAGTAGTCCGGCATCGGGCTGATTTGCTGGGTTCATTCTTCTGACCACCACTGAGGCGGTTGTGGATATCATCTATTGGACATGCTATCTTCCTGGAGACCTGGTCCAAGGAGTCGTCAGAAAAATACGATACAAAAATGGCCGTGGTCAGCCTTATGGTGGATGAATTTTCAGTTCGCTTTCTTCCGTTTGAAAAGCTGAGGACAAATCTGAAGGTTCCATGTAGTTGTTCAGTTGACGTTAACTTGGCGTTTAATCTACATGCTCAGGTAAGCTTCTTCCTTTTCTATGGAAGGTACGCTCCCGTCTATTCAGAGTTCGTACACTCGTGCGCGAAATCTGAAGCTCTGCAAATGTGTTATCCGTGATGTCTGTACCCAAGACGTACTCGTTTCCATGAATCCTTGAGCATATCCCACCTCCCGTGCCGACTTCTTTTTCGACTGTTAACCAGAATAAGCTAACAACTTCGCTCTAGGAGGAAAAAGGCACAACAAATCGCCACATATCCGCCACGGAGGTGCTGGAACTTTGACAAACCGTGAGTTGTGACTAATGAACATTACATATTTCTTTCCGTGACTAACGTGTTCGCACAGATAAGTACACCAATGGACCCGTCAGCGGTGATCTGTGAGCATTGATCCCCATTCTGTGTCGGCCTCAAGTCGATTGATGGCATTAGGAGACCACCTATTTAACACCTCTGCACAAAAGGTGTCTCAGGAGAACGAACATGTCACTTGTGGGAGCTCTTATTCCAGGGTAATTATGTTCGCTTGCTTGGACGTGCCTTTTCTTTGCGCGAGGACCCATAAAACTACCTAGATATACGGAACTTGAATACCCATTTTCATAACTCCCTTGACTCATAAACGAGTAGGGTGGTGAAATCAAAGAAAAACTGATCAATGCCGGACGTGAGGGTTCTCGGTGTTATCCCTTAGAGTACCTGGGGGATCCGCCGCTACGTAATGCGCGTTCTCCTCAACACCCGGCAGAAACATAATGTATGTGCACACTAGGTCATTGTATAACAACGTTCTAAAGCTTACGTGAATTAAAGATATGCCTTGATGAGCTTGAACTTGAAGATATTGTTTGACGTATGTCTTTTCCTCTTAGTCCGCGGCTGCTAACAATACGCAGAAAATAAGAATACGTGGACGGCACCTCTGACTTGCAGCGAACATGCCTTATTACGCATAGCGGGTATACATTCGCACCGTGTTTTAAAATTTATCGACCCGTACACTGCTCTTTGCATTTTCGCAGTGTCGTGAGGATACACATTCTCTCTCTCTGTAATAATGCTCATCTCACGACTTGCCTTCCTCGTGGAGATTACGTTGCTCTTCTCCTTTATAGTTGTAGGGATTATCATCTAACATCGCTTGCTCTGATAATCGGGGACAAGATGTGTAGCCGATAGGGGAATTTTGGAGGATCGGAATCTCTTTCTCTCGCTGTGTTCCGTTTTCCACGGTAAAAGTATTTCGTTGCCCAAGCATAGACCCGGACGGGTAGGGCTTATACAATAACAAGAGCATTCAGGCGCACTAAGCTCCTGAGTCCCAAGTATATGGACCAATACCCACGAGGAAGGAATCAGAGTGGCAAGAAGAACCGCTACGTCTCTCGGCCTCGGGAAGAGCTTGTTATCCCTCACGGCAGCCTGAAAAAAACCCAAGTGTTACCCATAAGAATCTCTGCCGGTCTTATATCTCTCGGTTGATTCGTCAAGTCCTTTCCAAGACCGCGCCCTAGTGAACATTTCCACATAGCCCCCCGGGTTAAAGACTCTGGTTCACAAAACGAACCACTCGAATCCGCGATTTTGCGTGAGAAAAGACCGCCAACGCAAAGAAGAAGCTGACAATTTCACTGTAGCGGGCTTGAAGAAAAACATTTGGGTCCAAGTGCACTGTTATGCTGCAAGAATGGTTTACCTGAGATAACGATGCGCCTGCATCCGTCCCGGTCGCAAGGCCTAAAAAGATAATGTCAACTGCATAGATCAGACGCGCACGAGGAAGGGATCGAACTTCCCGGAAGGGCACGTGGGGAGGGAACCACTGCACCTTTTGCGCTTGTAGTTCTAATGTATGAACATACTGAACTCTGTGTTTCAGGGAGAGGTAATACGAGTTGAACGCGTAGCAAGTGACGTCCAGCCTGGGAATTATCGTCTGGCGAGGACGAAGTTCTTTTATTTGTAAAGCTACCAAAGCAGATGTAACAGAGTCAAATCGCGACTCTCTGTGTCTCAAATAGACGTCACTCAATATCGGATTCGTTTCCAAAAAACCAAAACTATCCCACCCTCCAAACCTCCAATCCAACATTTTCAAACCCTACCGCCCCACCCGCCCTGGGCCTCCCAGGCGAACAAAGCATCTCGTTCCCAAACGTCACACACCGCGCCGACGAGCCCTCCAACAAGCTCTTATCAATATAGAGCCCGTACGCCCCCTCCGCCGAAACTGAGGTAATTGAATTCGCAGAGTGCGATGTAGGAGTTTCGGCCCGTGGGTTTGTACACCGACAGCTTGCAGTTGGAGTACCGCCATAGGAATCTGCGAATGATGAGTAGAGGAAGGAGGGAAAAGGATAGGACGTACGATTCACCACTGCCATAGTACCCTCTCTCTCTGCTCTGTCGAATTCCGTCCCCTACGAACGCGCCAAAGATGGTGTCGCCGTCGTCTTTGATGACGACAAGTGCACTGACGGGTTCGGGTTGCTCGGATCGGGAGTAGAGTGTGTTGAGGGATATACCGAGTTGGTCGAGTGAGTAGAGGAGGGTCCATGTGCGTAGGAGACGGGAGAGTGCTGGGAGACGTTGGCGGATCTGTAAGTGTAACCAGGTCAGTCAGGGTGTGATTATCGAGATGGAGGCTGTACACACCATATTCGCTAGCACAGCCTCCAACACGCCAACCGGACTCTCCCTTTTCCCTCTCAACTCCACATCTCCGATCTTCCTCTCAATACTATCGCCCGTGCTCGCCGGGGGAGGAAGAGGAGCCGTCGGAGCCCTCTCATGCCGATTCTCCTTATTCGCCGGCTCCCTCTCCAAGTCCTTGGAGAACCCTTTATCCCAATCGTACCCTTCCCCACGGTACCCCGGTGCGCCAGTTGGAGGGATGTACACCACAGAGGACGTCTCAGAGGCGCTGCCGTATGGTGCGAATGGTGTTTCGTGGGTTATCTCGACGGGGACGACGGAGTGTGGGTGCGGCAGGGGTGCGGGTATGTCAGGGTCAGGGTAGAAGGGAGAGTCGAGTGTGGTGCATGCGGAGGGTGAAGTGGACGGGAGGAACGTGTACATTCATCGGTAGGGGAGCATTTGGGTGTGGGTTGTGATGCGGTGTGAGATGGATGATGTGGATGCTCTTGGCAGGGCGGGGGTTGCCGCTTAGAGTGTTGGTGTGGCGCGAGGGTGTCAGGAGGAGGGCACGATGGATACTAGGGAAGATGAGAGACTGGATGTTTTGGCGCTGAAAAAATCATCGTCCATATCTGAGGCCTGAGGTCGTGTCAATCCCAGTTAGTGGCGGTTCCTTGGAACAAAACAAAGGTTCGTCTAGCAACAGTTCGTATAGAATGTCTGTTGATATAATCCAAGCGGGTATGGAAGCACACGAGGGATCAGGGCACGAATACGGGATTGACGCAGTACATGAACAGTGAGTACGTAGTCAATCGAGTAGAGAAGAAGAAAGCGTAGCTACGAAAATTTACCGGTATGTACACGTGACTGATTACCAATAAACACGCGAGCCACGAGCTCGATATCCAACAATGTCCCCTTATTCCGCTCCTGCGCTCGTTTCACCTCGTCGAGGAATGCGTGACTCGTGTGAGGTTCTGTATGCACATGTGAGAAGGGGGTAGTTGCTAGAGGGTCTTGGGAGGGCAGGACAGAGACAAAAGCGCCGAATTCTCCATCTGGGGAGTGAGCGAGTCTGTGAGGATGGAGGGGGGTGGGTTGGTGGGAGAAGCGCGAGGCTTAGGTGGTGAGAACAGTGTGGCGAATCTGTCGATCATCTCTTCGAATTCTGGCGCTGGGACGGGTATTAGCGGTGACATTGATGATGCCATTATGACTGTATGGTCTCAGTAAGTGCCTCTATGCAAGTCGCGAGGCAACGCACCTTTCATTTTTACATAAACCAACTCCATTAACTGTTTCTATCTCCCTTTGGTCGTGTGGTTTCACAGTATCAAGTGGGCTCCCCGTCTAGAGACTGGCCTTTGATGCTATGCAGTCCTTTCTTTCCTCTCTTTCAAATCGTCGGCCACATCTTCAGTCCAGCCTAGGCCGCCACACTGAAGACCGTCATCACTTGATCTATCCACAGTTCAGTCTCCAGGTTTAGTAAGAATAGAGAAGGAATTACAGATGACTCTCCGCATGACTTTCGACTCTCTCTTTTCTGGAATCGCCCCGCCCATGTATATCCACGTTGTGAACACTTATATGCTCCCACTACACATGGCTTTGGCATACATCCCGCCCGGGGAATAATTGAGAAACTTAGGGATGTCCCAATACGGAGAGGTTTATATGCCGGACTCAAGACAGGCTCAGTGATTGGAAACAGCGAATCATTTCTCAGCGTGCTCTATTGGTATCTCGGCATTCCTGTCATCATCCGACATATGCATTGAACGGAAACGATGCTTCCTTGCACCCGCACAAACTGAAGGGGCAGTATGTGCAACCGCAGAGCAACGTGTGTTCCCCTTTGAAGAATTCCTTCGCAGCCATTCATCCACTTATCACAAACCAGACACCCCGCAGATGAACTTCCAGAGCGGAAATTATCACTGCGAGTCGGACTACCAAAGATTTCATAGCGGAATGAATTTTATATGGCTCCAGCCACGAAACCCATATTTTCAGTGCTGGTGGGTGGATGCACAACAGTTGTAGGTCCCTGTCAAATTTGGGTATCAATCCTGTCTAATTTAGGTACAGTCATACTAGAAATACCCAATTTCTCACGAAACAGCTTCTTTCTTCCCATCCACGATGTCCGTCGATACCACTGTTACTCCCGAACCGAGGTTCATCATCGCTATCAGTGGAGGAAAACATGTCTTTCTTCGGTGGTCTGATGTTGTTGAATATGACGTGAGTTACGATCTAGCCATCCGTGGATATATGTGTTCTGAAAAGCAGGTGTAGTCCTTAATTACTACATTATATCGCCACTTTGGAAATGAGCTTCCGAGGGACAAGGAGAACATTGTCGTGCAAACTAATGATTTGGACATCTGCCTTGGGATATTCATTGATATTCCAAGCGAGCTGTGGGGTGATATTAGCGCACAGATAAGCCGCATCAGAGTCGTGAATAAGTGTAAGTTCATTATTAGTATGAGCATTTTTCGCGGGCTGACCTCCTATCAGGGTCTAGTGAATATAAGCGAAGGTAGCATCCTTCGATTGATTATCTACTGTGCTACCAACAACCGAGTCTCAATGGGCATTTCGACATGTTCTCGCACACAAAAAGGTTCAGATAAGAGCGCAATATCATCGCAATTCCACATCCTTCTCCTCAAGTGCAGACGTCGATACAATACATCCCCTGAGGCAACGCAAAATGAAAAAGAAAGAAGCAAGAACTTGTACCTTAGAGAATTTATACAACTGTCATGTGTGTACGGCATCAGCATGGCCGCATAAAGAACGAGATAAGGTTTACTTTGATGAGATGCATGTCATCACGCTCCCTTTACTCCGCAATTTGCAAGAATATGGAACTCTGCACCCTCCGAAACAACCTCAGCTCAGTGAGAGCGTAAGTCGGAGCATCCATGAGGCTTTTTACAGAATAAAAATGGTAATCGGCGTAATTCAGGCAACACACGCAATTTTCGAGAGCCGTAGTTCTAGGTTGCTCCCCGAAATTGGCATCTGGATTTGTATCAGTCACAAGGTCGGGCTAAATATATCCAATGGAATTTGAATTGGTCTTTATGATACACTCTCACGAAGCGTCTTCTTTCTCCCCATCGATAATGTCTACTGAAACCAACATCGCAGAGACACCGGCATCTACTACCACTGCATCTGCCACCCCCGAACCGAGGTTCATTATCGTTTCCAAAGGCGCGAAACGTGTTTTTCTGCGGTGGCCAGATGTAGCTGAATATGACGTGAGTATATCAGTGTCATGAATCCTAAGGCTCTGAAAAGAAACACAGGCCTTATTCGTTGCATTAAATCGCCACTTCCCAGAGATCCACCCTCAATATAAGAATAGTTATGCCATTCAAACCAATGATTTAGCCATTTGCGATGGGATATTTGTCGATATTCCCGGCGAGTTGTGGAAGGAGATGAGCACAAAGATAAGCCGGATAAGAATTATGGACAAGTGTGAGTCACCTTCACAATAGCTGTTTCTCGCAGGCTGAAATTCCATCAGCTTCTCATGAATATCGCGTATTGGGGAGGTAGTACGGTAGCATGCCCGTATCAAATCTCCAAGGTATTGTCGACGACCGAGTCCAAGTAGACCTACGTGCGCTTACGCATACTGCAATATCATCATATTTCCGTACCGTCTTACTGTTTCATGAGTAGGCAACAACACAGCTCTAGCCTAATGAGGCGATGTGAAGCGGATAGGGAGACCTACTTTGGAGGTATTCCCCAAGATTTGGCCTGCCACCAGCGTATATGATTTGCTACGCTATGAGCGTAGTGGCATGGAGAAAGAAAACAATGCATACTTGGATTGTGCGCACGTTATCGTTGCATCACCGCACCAGTCAAAACGACGAGCGTGAAGTGACAACACGCGTCAAGCCCATTGGTTATTATCGTCGTTCACCAGCAATGTCGAGTGTGTCCTGTGACAGAGAAATATTCAATATTTCCGGATGGGGTTGAGGTACTATGTAAAGGATACGGATTCAGTACGGACCGTTTATCTACGTCATTTCTTTCTTTCTGTTTACCTGTGCCTTCGGACTGCTATGTATGCGTCTTTTTGGCCTTTTTGCTGCTTAACCTTAGATTTACTTTGATGCTGTGTCTTTAACTCTTCATACTCTGGCTATTATAAGTACACCGTTCGTGCTCTGTTCTCGAGTTGAAGACCCTCCTTAAGGTAGATCCTTTACATACTAAGTACGGGTGACAATGCAAAGGTACTGTGGTTGATGGGAAAGAAATGAAATCGGGCTATCACCATTGCAGCTATGCGGGAATGCATGATATCTCGAATTCAGGCAGAGTTATTATTGATCTCAGTTCCCCACGAGACTACTAAAGGCGCAATGAGAACTCAAGGGCGGTGAACTGGGTTGAGAAGTGTGTAGTTGACTTCTGGTATTGGTCATAGGGAGAACATTACGTGTGACAGTCGACAACTTTGATCAATGCCGCCGGCTTCTTCTCTGCCGCTGTGCACGTCGACACATTCGGCATATACCTTATATCATCTACCTAATTACCGATCACCTCCCATCAACGTGTCTCTTTGATCTCAGCTGCTGCACTTACTCTCCGCGAATGTCTCGTCCGACAACGGGGTTGTACACGGTATATATCTGGAAGGTGAGAGAAGGAATTACAAAAATGTACATCCAATTTGGTAGTGATCGCACCCCTGAGCACCTATCTGAGCCTTGGAAGGTCACAAGCTTAGATGATAGGCGCTGAATGATCTCACTAACAGTTTTATTTTATGTCCCCTGTTCGTTTCCATTTCTCGCTTCCTATCACCCAACAGCAACGGGTGCTGCTAAATCAAAGGACACCGCTCAGCCTGTTATGGATATTGGGTATCCACTGATTCGGTGCATGAGTCAACACATGCCCGAACTCGGCCTTCTCGGTCCTAGTAGTGACTCGCTCGTACTTTCTCTTAGTTTCTCTATTCTTCGTATTGATACTAGAATATTATAGAACATTGTAGAGTAATAATGACTCGAACATTTCCTTAGTATATAAACTTGTAGATAACATTGTATTAGGAATACTTGATCAATCTACTACTTCCAGTACCCTCACACTGCGTGAACCCTCAGTTACGCCTAGCGCTTGCTGAACAACCCATTGGATACGCCTAGCGCTTTCCAATACCAACCCGAAGGTTACGCTTAGCGCTTGCCTTCACCCACGGCCCGTAATAGCTTCGCGCTTACAGGCCTTCTATATCGGTAATTGCTCCGCGCTTACCGGCTACTTCCCTCAGTAATTGCTTCGCGCTTACTGATTTCCTTTATTTCGCAAACCGGACCACTCAGGTCTCCTCACGAACCCTCGCCGGAATCCATTATATTCCCTAACGACGTACATCACTCCTAATTAATCTTACCTCGCTCCGATCACCGCTCCTTGCCTCGTGCTAGCATATCCGGATTTCGGCAGATCCATAACACAGCCGAAGGACTCCATTGTCGCCACGGATGCCAAAACCACAGTTTTTGTTCGGAGGTCGGATGGTAGCCATTACCAGGTGCGCATGATATACAATTTCTCACATATGAAGGGCAGTGCCTAGAGTGGAACTTCCGACTGTCCGAATACAACATTCCCGACTGGGCAACATTTTGTCTTGAACTTGACGACAGTGAGATGCTGGGGTTTAAACCAGTCATATATCTATTTAGTCCCCTCCCAATACATGCCATTGTGCGATTATCCCGAATCGAAACCTGGTTATTCTCTGCCGTCTATCCAGGGGTCCCAATCAAAGAACCCGAGTTTGGACAATAGATCACTTGGAGCGTCAAAACTCACAACGATCATACCCTGACTGAAACTACTACCGGTACATGAGTATCTTATCTGTTCTGGGAGACTGTGTAAGTTGACCTGATCATCGTTTGGGGCTTGCTTACTTTAACCGTCTGACAGAACGAACCCGGGTTTACCTCCTTCGCCGCCCACATCTTCCGTAATGTTGCCAAATGATGTTCGCCCATTTAACCCCTTGCGTCCCTAATTTACCAACGGGAATTCAGTCGTTCTCCGCAGTCCAGAAGTCGCAGCTTATCTCGACAAGGCATTAGCCGCTCTCGGTCTTCACATTGACGCAAGGACCTCATTCATCACAATTTCCGTCCATTTATTCATTACCCACGTAACCATCAGATTCTAGATTCCCTTTATTCTGAAGCACGATTACATTGCATTGAACTTCCTCCCCTGATCTTCGTATGAACATGCAGCGCCTCTCGACATCGAGCCCAAACCAGACGTAGTGATCCGTGTCTTCATGTTATTCAAGAAAATCTCGGAGAAGTTGGAAAAATGGGAACGAGCACTCTCTCGGGCGTCCGAGGGCGTTGAATTTTGGCACAGTATTGTTGGGGTAGACTGCGATGGGATGAGAGACAAGAAGTTCTTCAGGGTGTTGGAATGGGGAGGAATGGAAGTAAAACGTTGATCTGGTGTCGAAGTTCTTGCTACATCAGCTTGTGTTTTTTTCTAATTTTACATGCGAAGAGATCTTTTACTCCGTGTTAGACGACGAGATTGCGAGGAATTGAGCGCTTGTGCATTGTGGCTGGCGACATTTGCCATGGCACCAGCCATGCTCAAGCACCACGAAGAAAGACTTTACAGAGAGTCTAGTCCCCATCCCGGAGACAAAGTTATTAAGCCCTCGGCAGCACGACTATAGCCATCTGGAGATGCTACACGTGGAAGTCGACCTCGACGAAGGCAGAGCGCACACCTCTCCTTGGCTGTAATCACATTGGATAAATGTCAGTAATAAATAACCACTCATCGAGCGGTAACGACATAGAGATGTCTGGTAATCTTGATAAAGGGAAAATTGACTTCAACCACCAAACCCATCTACATTGACACTCCGTCCCTGCATCTCCACATTGCCGGAAAATATCAGATATTTGACCTAAAGAACGACTCGCCATCCTGCGAGAGGAGGAAAACGTTTGTTTACTGTTGCTTGCACTATGACGATTCAACACAATTTATAGTTTCCCCTTGGCAGTTTTTCGTCTGCAAAAAGAGGACACATCTTGAGAACACGAACATGCCTACTTCAACGTGTTGCATCTCCACCTCACCCGCTTAGCCATATCTATATAGTGGTTACCAACCAAACGTGCTACTTCCAGGACAAACCCAGTCGTACACAAACTCCGATCTAGCCATCCCCATGGGCTGTGGAGATCCTTCAACAACGGCCATAACATCAGTGATCTTTGGGATGCGAGCAAGAAAAGTTGCTTTCACGAAAGGCAACCCTACGTCTTACGAACCATGCATAAGACATCAGATTCCTATCATTCGTTTACGTCGCGGAATATCCTCGTTACATTTGAATTCAGGTAGAGCCATCGTGTTGATATTGTATTACGTTTATACGCCTCAAACCAGTTGCATGCCGGGGTGAAAGCTCGACATTACAGTCTATCGAACAATGCACGCTCCCACTACACATAAATCTGAAACTACGTGTCATTATAGGTAATCGAGCTTGACGAGATGGTAGAGGTTTTTACCTCATTTAACGAGCTTCGGACCGACTTATAACAGTAGGACGAACGTGTGAGATTCCGGTCTCCAATGCACCCTAGAGGATAAACGTACTATCATTTGGTCGTGGGTTCATGGCTATGCAAAAGTATCATATTACCAGTTTGACTAGATGAGACGCGTGTTTCCTATGGTAATCCAGAAGGCGCGTTCAACCTGCCAGATGTCTTTACGTGAATCTAAGAACGATGGCAGACTAAGAGACTGACGTTACCAATTGAAAGTGCAGGTATAATACCCACGGCAGGACGCCGCCAGAGGTATGTTTTCCGATGACAAAACGTAGGTCCTCAAATATTATGTTTAACGAAATGGTGATCTACTGGCATTTGCATGAAGATTGGAAGGAAGGGACGTGAAAGCAGACGCACCCAGAACATGTAAATGGTAGCTGTCACACAAAGCCAACAATGAGTCAGAGCATCATCGAATGTCGAAGTTCAATGACGCACGAGAAGGACATACAAATTGTCATGGGAGAAGCGGTTGTTGTTAGAGGACACAACACGCATATATCTGCGATGATGTGAGCGAGAAAGTAGATAAGGAGGAACAGCGTACCTAGAAGACCGGCACAACATCACGTACGCCTGCCATCACCACATGTCGTGCTAGAATATCTAATGCAATTCGAGCTACAACAACCTCAGATCTCTGTGTGAATCAAAAACTGGTATTGTTATCATTTCCAAGTGCCGTGCATGATTTCACTGAATCGAGCGAAGCCACAGGTATTTGTCCTGGCAGTGCTGGGGATGCATATACGCTAAGATTGGAGGTGAGGTCAATTATCGCACCGATACGAGGACGATGCCTGTGTGACATGACGAGAGCGAGACTTTTCGGTTACAAGATCTGCTATGAAAACATTGGGGACGGCATAATGCCGATACGGCTGATATCTCACCTTGTTCTGGACCGTCGGGCCAAAAGAAGATCGAACGAGAGAGCTCATCACCATTGTACATCTGCGGCGGACTGTATTCACGATTCAAATCATCCTCAAGAAAATGGAAAAAGAAATGACACGTCAGAAGCTGGAAGGCTATTGATGAGAGACGTGGTTTGGTGGTGGTCATCGGCAGGAAGGTGATGTCATGTTACGTGTCACAATCCGTGATGCGTCATCCCCCGATTGTCACGCATAATGCACTTAGAGTCCGACTAGTTCTCTCCTTGGTTCTCCCTGTGGTAGCATAGTCTAACTGAGCTGCGTAATTGGCTTTTTCGCGTTATATTGCATTCAAGACTTGCGCCAGCTAGATACTATGCCTTGGAATGCAGATGTCATTTTTCCATCAGTACAACAACTGTCTTCGTCTTCACCAGTTCCTTTGCGCGATCACCCCAGTTCAGTCATGCGCTCACACTCGCACCCATACCGAATATTTGTCTAGGATAGAAAAAATTCTGCCGTGTCGTATGCAGAAATACGACTAAAATTTACCAATTTGGCTCAATACTGATTCTAGATTACAACATGGGTTCATCAGGGTCGTTTCACTTGGCAAGGCAATGAATACTTTTGCAGGAGATCGTGCAGAGGCGGGAGACGAACTAGACGATATGCTGGCCTACTAGGTATGCATTTTTCTCTTTGTCAGAAATTTAACTCACATCCTGGTAGATACTTACAGGCCATGTTCCGCGAGAACCGTTTCTCTGTAAATGATCTGTATGTCGTTTCCACATGTTCTTGTGTTCAAACTTTTGATAATTCTTCTGGATTTAGTGCCGTTTGTATATAGAAGAATCAGCGTGGACACTGCCATTCACATGCCTTGCGCGGATCCACTTCGACTTCCCCTACCGTCACAATGGCTGTCGATCTCCACGGTCGTTAAACCTGATATTCGCTCCCGCCCCTGGTCGCTCTAATTCTCAGGGTGCTGTCGACAGTCGCATAAAATGTGTAAGAACCAGTCAAGTTGCCGACATGTTCGTAAGCCAATTCCTTACCATATGTGTCGCCAACTGCACTGTCAAAGACGACAACGGAGCACACTCGCACTCGCGCAGGCGGCGGACGGTCCACAGTTGCGAGGTGACTCAACGTTCGCATGCTGTTTGGAAAGGAAGACCTGACGAAATGCGCAGTCGAAATTTTTGACACGATAAAGCAGTGGTCGACGTACAGAAGCGAGGTCGTTGGAGAGATGGGTGTTGACTGAGATTAGTAACTGTATCTCCTCCACGGGTGTAAGAAATCAGGGAAGGAAAAGGTCCGGTGCCTGTAGCTCTGAAAATGCGAAATTACCTTGACGTGACGACGCGAAAACACCAAGACCAGCTTGTCTCGATTGTACTGTGGACGCACAAGCTTCAAGGCCTACAGACGCTCAAATACCCACCATTCTCCGTTCGTTCGGCCATAAAAGCATGCACGGACGCGTACGAGGAGAGGGGGGGAGGGTCAAACTCCCATTGGAGGCACTATGTCTTTTGAGGTACGATAAAAACAGCATTCTTCCTAGTCGTTGGACTTACATATTCACGCTCACAAGAGAAATCACTTGACAATGCTCCGTCCCGGTAAAAGGATTTATGTTAATTGCATAGACCAGACGCGCACGAGGAAGGAGTCGAACTTCCATTGACAGGGCGTGGGGAGGGAGGGAACCACTGCGCCTTTTGTGCTTGTAGTCCTGCTTAGATGAAATGTATGGAAAGATTGAGTGTTCGTGTTCAGGATAATCCTACAGGAGAGGTAATACGAGTTCAACGTGTAGCAAGAGACGTCCGGCGAGGACGAAGTTCTTTTGATTGGAGGGTTACAAAAGCAGATGTAACGGAGTGAAATCGCGACTCTCTACGAATTCGGTACTACAACAAACTCGCCTCGAAAAACGGGTCCCATCCACCCTACCCCACCCTCCAAACCTCCAACCCCACACACTCGAACCCCACCGCCCCGCCTGCCCTCGCCCTCCCAGGCGAACAAAGCACCTCATTCCCAAACGTCACACACCGCGCCGAGGAGCCCTCCAACAAGCTTTTATCAATATAGAGCCCGTACGCCCCGTCGTCCCCGCCGCCGAAACTGAGATAATCGGGTTCGCAAAGGGCGATGTAGGAGTTGCGGCCGGTGGGTTTGTAGACCGAGAGTTTGCAGTTGGAGTACCGCCATAGGAATCTGCGAATGGTGAGCGAAGGAAGGGAGGAAGGGGATAGGACTTACGATTCACCACTGCCGTAATACCCTCTCCCTCTGCTCTGTCGAATTCCATCCCCTACGAACGCGCCAAAGATGGTGTCGCCGTCGTCTTTCATGACGACGAGTGCACCTGCGGGTTTGGGTTGTTCGGATCGGGAGTAGAGTGTGTTGAGAGATATACCGTGCTGGTCGAGGGAGTAGAGAAGGGTCCATGTGCGTGGGAGACGGGAGAGAGCTGGGAGACGCGGGCGGATCTGTAACCAGGTCAGCTCAAGATCATCAAGACGAAGTGTGTACGCACCATATTCGCTAGCACAGCATCCAACACGCCCACCGTATTCTCTCTCCTCCCTCTCAACTCCACGTCGCCCATCTTCCTCTCGATACTATCTCCCATATTCGCCGGGGAGGAGGAAGAGGAGCCGACGGAGCCCTCTCATGCCGATTCTCCTTATTCGCCAGCTTCCCTCTCTAGGTCCTTCGAGAAGCCTTTATCCCATTCGTACCCTTCCCCGCGGTACCCCGGTGCGCCCGTCGGAGGGATGTACACCACAGGAGGACGTCTCGGAGGAGCTGCCGTGTGGTGCGAAGGGTGTTCTCGTGGGTTATCTCGACGGGGACGACGGAGTGTGGGCGGGGCGGGGCTGGGTCGAGGTGGTGGTGGTCGAAGAGGGAGTCGAGGGTTGCGCGTGCGGAGGGCGAGGAGGGTGGGAGGAAGGTGCTCATCCATCGGGAGGGGAGGGTTTGTGTGTGGGGTGTGATGGGAAGTGAGACGGATGAGGTGGATGCTATGGGTGGGGCGGGCGTCGCTGCTGAGAGTGTGGATGTGCGGGAGGGAGGGGAGTGGCGGTATCGAGACGAGGGTGCGATGGATACCAGGGAAGATGAGAGACTGGATGTTTTGGCACTGAAAAAGTCGTCATCCATATCTGAGGTCATGTCAATCTCAACTGGTGGAGGTGGTGGCGGTGGCGGTGACAGGTCCTTCGAACGAAACAAAGGCTCGTCTAGCAACAGTTCGTCCAGCACATCCCGTTTATTCCGCTCCTGCGCACGTTTCGCCTCGTCGAAGAACGCGTGAGTAGTGTGGGGCTCTGTATGCACAGGTGAGAATGGGGTAGTTGCTAGTGGGTCTTGGGAGGGCGGGACAAAGACAAAGGCGCCGAATTCTCCGTCTGGGGAGTGGGGCGAGTCGGTAAGGATGGAGAAGGTGGATGGCGGTGGTGTGTTGGTGGGAGATGCGTGAGGTGTGGGTGGTGAGAACAATGTGGCGAATCTGTCGATCATCTCTTCGGATTCTGGTGCCGGGAGCGGTATTAGCGGAGGTGTCGATGATGCCATGATCGCTGCGTGGTGCTCAGCAAACGCCTCTTTGCAAGTCGCGAGGAGACGCACCTTTATATGTTTACATAAACCAATTCAATCAACTGTTTCTGTCTCGCTTCCGTCGCGTGGTTTCACGTATCGAGTGTGCTCGCTGTACAGAGATCTTTCAGTAGAGCGCTACACGTTCATTAGAATGGACGTACCTTTGCTCCGAAGTGATAGTAATGGAAGCCTGTCCCGCGAATGATTCGATGAGCCTGGATGATCTCCTTCGGCAAAAAGAGCTCACCAGAGTGGCTGCTTTCGGAGCCTTTTCTGTCGCTGGCCAAGTCCTTCGATTTTGCAGTGTGTTCGTTCAGAAACGAATTCTGTTCGTAATTTTCGTGTGTCGTAGCCTCGAGAGCAGGAATAAGAATCGGATCGTCGTGGTCGAATGTCAAGAGATGGCTGTGATCGTTGTGTACATCTGCTTGCGCAGATCGCCACAAAGTGTCCGGATCTCGGGCCGAGTCCCCTGGCTCTCTAAAGCTTGCACGGTTATTGGAGGACATCTTGGCTACATCACAATGCTCAGCGAACGACTCAGCTATATTCGACTGCCTTTAATGAACGACTGTACGGGTTCTTGTTCAGTGTCATCCTAAAATTTATTCTCGCACCAAAGCTTTCATTCCTCCTCCTCGACTTTTTGCTTTCCACAGTCCTGTCCTAGATAGTCGATATGGGAACTATCATCGGACACTGCCAATGTTCAAAATCAACGCCATCTCCACCAGTTTCGAAACTTGTACAATCGACGCGTTTGAACACAGCCCCGCCATCAACGCGTCTCCATATCATGATCAAATCCTCGTATAAAACCTACCCCTTCCCACCATTCCAGCAAAACTCTTACTACAACGCTCTCCACCATCCTCCTCTCCCTTGCCTCAGCCTCATCGGAAGAACATACTGCGGGAGAGAAGGCCTGTGTATCGGCAGAGATGGGTGTAGCTCGTGCGGTCCGACCGGGAAGACGTGCGATGGGGGGGTTACTGAGATTAAGTGCCGTGGGTGCATTGTCTTTGTTTTGAGGTCGGTGAAGCTGAATGGGTCTTTTGTTAGTGACGTGTTCGGAATGAATCTGATGAAGGATGAAGTTTTCTCGGAGAAAAAAAAAAATCACTACTTTTATAGTATACAGGAGGTGTCGAACCTCAAACTGAAGACATTACCACTATACTTCGTGTCCCACGACTGAAAAGTATACAATAAACTGCCTTCTCGGCAAAAAGGGAGTATCAATCTTACTACTAATTCAAACACACACGCTCCCAAGGTTCACTAAGGTCCACAGATAACTTATAAGCCGTAGACAAGAGACAGTGAACTTCTCGTTACTATTCCTCACGGGCTAAAATCCTGTCAGGTTCTCCTGAATATCGACTATTGGGAAAATAGTACGATAAATCTCCATGGCGATATCATCGTAGTTCCGTACTAATGCAGAGGGCGTGATATCTCGGACTCGGGCAAAAAAACATTATTGATCTAGGTAGGAGTGAGAGCACACGCACAACGAGAACTCAAGGGCAGTAGACCGAGTTGACAGGGCCTCTGTTGAGTCTTGAGTCATAAAAAGAACACAGTCGACAACTTTGATCACAACCGCCGGCTTCTTCCCTGCTGCCATGTGCGTCGACACATTCTGTGTATACCTTATATCATCCACCTTATTACCGATCACTTACCCTCCCATCAACACGTCTCTTTGATCTCAGTCGCCATGCTTACTCTCTGTGAATGTCCTGTCCGTTAAAAAAGACGGGGCGGTGAACCGTATATATCGACGAGGTAAAAGAAGGAATTATGAAAAAGAGCTTCCAATTTGACAGTGATCGCACACCCAGGCGCCTATCCGAGCCGTGTCAGGTCACAAGTTTAGATAATAGGCGCTCAATGATGTGACTTACGTAGTTTTCCATTACGTCCCTTGTTCGTTTCCATCTCTCCTTCCTCTCACCCGACAACAATGGGCGCTGCTGAATCAAAGGACGCTACTCAGTCGAACGACTACATCGTCGCCACGGATGCCAAGGCCACAGTTTTTGTTCGGAGGTCGGATGTTACTCAGTATCAGGTGCGCGCGCCCACAAAGCTGTAGATGATTGTATACGTCCTGACATTACGTCTTATGCAGGATTTGGTTGCTGTTCTTCTCAACCATTTCCCCAATATCAACACAACGTCAATTGTCATTCAAACCAACGAAATGGATATCTGCGCTGGACGAGATGTCGATATTCCGTCACATCTGTGGCCAGAGATCAGCCCTAAAATCCGGAACATCACCGTGGTCTCGCGTAGGTCTTGCCTCATTATAGACATAGGTACTAGCTGAAGTCACACCAGGCCCAGCCCACAATTCAACAACAGTCGAAAGTGATCGCTGGGTACCAGAGGGAGCATGGGAATAGCTACTGGCGAATGATACTTCTGCCCAGAGTTGTTATAATGAGCTAGACCGTTGAGGGAGAGATTGTGCTTGCAAAGACGTATTTCTCGACTTGACTGTGGATAACATTCCAGAACCGCACATCTGGAAATGGCACTCTTTTTGAATTTACTTTCCTGGTAGCTCGCCCACCCGCCCGTCTGATATCAAAGACAATGAAATTTAGTTCTCGCCGCTGCCCCCTTTGACGGGACGAAATAAATACCACGTATCACCCTCTGAGGAGGGGAAGCCACACTGCCCGATCGATATAACACTGGCCTGGCAACCTCAGTCGTCGAACGGGGTGACCTTCCCTACAAGTGCAGTCCTGTTTTCCAATCGAAACAGAACAGCGAATATGGTATCCCGAAGGTCAAGTCGATAACCCCCTTGAAGCGTCTCGTTTGGATGTGCGGTTCCCGCCGTAGAAGTATTAAAGCAACGAATACCGCCCCATTTTCCCAAAGGCATCGGCCACTTCAAGAGGGTATACATCAGAATGAAAATTCATTGTTCCCCGGCCCCAAGTCCCGCTCATTTGGATTTCGGCCTGTGTTAGTGGGTAGATTCCAGTCTTGCTTGCATGCCGGTTTGATAACAAGCCACTTCTTCAACAAGACTCGTGGGCAAAAGACCTGTCATGGGTAATCAAATACCGTACGCCTTTCTTTCCTTTCAAGTTTCGAATTTCAGGTTTCTGACATGAACGTAATATATATCATTGTTTACTCAGTCTCGCGTTAGGTTTTTTTTAGAGGAACGTGCCACGTTGGAGTTGGTGGGGAGTACACCCTCGCACTAGCCCATGTTTTATCCCCACCATTATCTGGATTCTGGAATCAGAGATCGTCTCGTCTTATCTGTGCCGCCTTCTTTTCCGGTACCCACTAAAACCTCAGTCTTATCAAGTCTCCCAACTTCTTTAATCTAGTCAACGGGTTCTAAGGCATTTGTGCCCTATTTCAGTTAATTTTGAGGCTTTCATCGACACTTGGAACAAGTTCGTCGTCCAGCGATTTAGACTCTCCGATGGCGATATCTCTGAACTTGCCAATTACGGTTTTATTCAGAGCCAGTCACAATTTAACTCTGGTTCTATCACACCCACATTTTTATGCTCTCCCTTCGGAGCTCCTTCCTCTCATCCTCCCCCAACCTCACTATTCCTCGTCGTCACCCGTGATAATTCCTTACTTTCGGTTCGGTAATAATGCATCTGAACCGTGAAAAGCATTCCACATAGTCATACTCACATCACGTCCCTCCTTGTTCGGTTACGCCTCATCTTTTTTCCGAGCATTCGTCCAAACTCACGACCTGGATGCTTATCTGTGCAGGACGCCACGTGGATATCCTTATATTCTGGTGTGATCCGGATCTCGGGCCGAATCCGCTTTCCTTAGCTACCATCAGAACGCTCAGCAAACGACTCTGCTATATTCGACTCTCTCTAAAGTGCAATTGTTCACGTCCTCGTACTTCTTCCCAACGTTGCGTTTATTCTCTTGTCATTCTTTCCCAGAGTCAGTCCTGATAGTCGAAATCGGAACTACCACTATCCCCCGACATCACATACAAGTACTCAATCAAAACTCTCACTCTCCACTAGTACTAGGTGGTTTCTAAATCTGTACGGTCGACGCGTTTGAACACAGCCTCCCATCAACGCGCATTCTCAAATCCCATTTCACACTTGTATTATAAAGTCCACCCTCGCTTCCCCATCATTCCTTCCACCTCAACCATCCTCCAGAACACGCGGGATGGAGGATCTTGGGTTGCACGATTTCTTTGGAGGATACCTCGCCACATAGTTGGTTCTCCTACGCTCTGGCTCTGGTGTACAAAAGACGTAGGCCGATCATCTCTGCCTCCAACCGCTTCTTGTGCTCTACCATCCTCCAGAAGATCATGATCCACGCGGGATGGAGAACTCTGACTTGCACGATTGCTTCGTCACATTGTTGGTTGCCCTCCCATCTGGTGTAAAAAAGACGTACGTAGGGCCGATCATCTCTCCCTCATTTCACGCTCATGGGTCATTCAATTGAAAGCCATATGCTTATTTGAATTAAACCCATGTTAGGCGATACAGGCTGCTTAACACGCAGATTCTCGGTCTATTTTGCCGCTCCCTTCAATTCAATAGTAAGCTTCTGGCTGGGGAACACAAATACCAATGGACGCCAAGACTGACACTTCGTCTTGTAGTGGCAAGACCGTCCGGGATACCAAGGCATATGTTTACACACCAGGTGTATACATCTGCACTTTACCTATGAACCCGCGCTACTGTACTGGTTCTATTCGGATTCACTACCTCTTCAACTATGGTAGGATTTCCATGCAACGCGGTATAAAACCCCTTCAAACTCGACGGTTACATATCAGCATTTGCTCCAGCCTCTCTCTCTCACACAATGTTCAGCTCCAAACTGACCCTCTTCGTTTCGACACTTGTCTCGCTCGTTGCGGCGACGACAACCACCACGGTGGTCACCGGAGCAGCAGCGGCACCTACCAGTGTCCAAGACGTTCTCAACAGCCTGAAGACCACAACCGACGCTATCCTCCCTCAAATCGGTACGCGCACGGTCCCTCCGCTTCAATTTTATTAGTGATTCACATTTTCCTGTACTGTAGACGCTCTCGTGGCGAACAAGACCGCGACGAATACCACAGTCGCTCCTCTCCTCAACCAAGTCATCTCAGCCGTCGATACCGCTACTTCGTCCATTTTTTCCCAAGGTCTCGCGGGGAGTAACAATACCAACGATTTGGCTACTCTTGCTTCGGGCATTATGAAGGTACGCTAACTCTACTGTGTCGTCGTAATCTCGTGTACTTACTAGGACGACAGGATATCAACACCAGCATGCAAGGCGTCAAGAACTCGGGTTGCCACCTCGATGGCCTCTTGGCAGTCATTGCCGTAACCCTGACCAAACTTCTCTGCACGCTCGAGGTTGTCGTTCCTGGGTTGCTCAAGGTCGTTGCATTGTTGTATGTCCTTTCTTGTTCTTTGAAATCTGTTTGATTCTGATAGCGGGGGGACCAGGCTCAAAGGCGTTGTGGGAACCGTCGTGGTGTTGCTTTGCGGTCTCTTGGGAGTCATTATAGGATAGGCTCTCGGTCGTTCTACAAACGCCTCTTTCTGCTTCCGTATTTGCATGGATATTGCTTTGTCGCGTTCCGCTCGTGTATTGATTGGTACTAGGCTACGCCTTTCTTTTTCTTTTGTACTCGATTGACTGCATACCCTACCATTCATTCGTGTACCACGTCAATCCCGTATTTGTTTGTCCTGATCCCTCATGTGCTTCCACTTTATTTCAACATGGCTTGCACTTGCCTTTGATGAATTGCTGTAGAAGACTATAAACGCGTTCATTCATACATTAGTAAAAAATGGATGTTTGAATAAGGAATTACGCCATTTTTGAGCACAAAACTAGAAATGAGACTCACGACACGGATAGGGGGGAACAATCGATTTCGGTGCGATCGCAAGTCTTCTACAGTAGCTACATACACCACGCGCACAACCGATGCACGGGTACCGCACCGTACGATCCCTTTGATATTGATATAGACCGTCCTAGCAGCGATTGAGGTCCGTAGTCGTCGAAGAGGATTTGTATCATAATACTCACGTCGGTAGACGGGATTCCTGATTGAAACAGTGGGACTTTTTGGGTGACCCCCAGGGCTGAAATCGTCCGGATTTTTCGTCTGACATGAAGCTGAGAAAAATTGCGGGCGCCTATCTGAACCGTGCCAGGTGAAAAGATTAGATGATAGGCGCTGAATGATACGACTTACGTAGTTTTCTATTACGTCCCTTGTTCGTTTCCATCCCTCCTTCCTCTCACCCGACGACAGTGCGCGCTGAATGAAAGGAGGCTACTCAGTCGAATCACTACATCGTCGCCACAGATGCGAAAGCCATAGTTTTTGTTCCAAGGTCGGATATCACTCAGTATGAGGTGCGCATCCGCAAAGCTGTAGATGATTGTATACATCCTGACATTACGTCTCATGCAGGATTTGGTTACTGTTCTTCTCAACCATTTCCCAAATATCAATTCAAAGTCAATCGTCGTTCAAACGAATGAAATGGATGTCTGTGCTGGACGAGATGTCGATATTCCGTCGTATTTGTGGTCAGAGATCAACATGAAGACTCGGATCCCTACGTCTGGTTTGAGCTCGAAGTCAAGATGCGCTGCATGTTCATGCCAATCGTGGAGGAAGAAATTCAATGCGATGTAATTGTGCTTCAGAATGAAGTGAATCTAGAATTTGATGGTTACGTGGGTAGTGAAGAAATGGACGGAAATTGATGATGATGTACGTGATGAATGAAGTTCTTGCTTCAATGTGAAGCCCAAGAACGGTCAATGCCTTGTCGAGATAGGCTGCGACATTTGGAGTGTGGAGAACGACTGAGTTCTTGTTAGTAACTTCGGGACGCAAGGGGTTAAATGAACGAAGAACATTTCGAAACATTACGGGAGATGCTGGCAGCGAAAGAGGTAAACCCGCGTTCGTTCTGAATCCTGATGCCTTGATCCCAGCTACATCGTCACGTGTGTAAGTCACTGTTCCTTGTCCGCCCGAAAAGAGATCTCGTTTTCTCGTGATTTCTCCACTCCAGGCTTCGCGCGTGCATTAGTAGCAAAACGGACCGGGGAGCATCACACGGCTACTTGCTAGCGTGGGAAGAATTATAGCCTGGTTATATCGAAGAAGATGACAGACAAATTAAAATAGAACGCACCAGTCAAGAGAATCTGCCTTATATCGTGTCGTTGCAACGTCTAGTCCATCCTGACAGATTAGTAGATATTGTACATTTAAGCCATACCTGTGAATTAATCGATAAAAAAGCACTTCTGATTAAACACCTCTGACCCAACACCGGGAATCGAACCCGGAATTACGCGCACCGTACCAGCTGTGGGATTCCACCATCCAATACAACCAGCGCTTCTTCTCCTCAACTTCCTATGGCCCGAAGGTACATTCCAAGGCTCGTTGCAAGCACAAAATTTCTACTCTGAACAAAGAGTGAAATATGTTTCATCAGTTGGAGGTGGGAAGTACGTAGAAAGGGAATTGAACTCTCAGGAAGGCAGGGCGTACAGTCCTCTATAGCCAGAATAACATTGGATAAACGTGGTTCACATGCCTTAATAAACAACCACAATCGAGTTCTCATTCAGACGCCTAGTAAGGGAAATTGACTTGAACAACAAAACCCGGCTACATCGACTCCATTCTTATAACTCCACCTCGCCCGGAAATAGATCTCACTTTTCCTTTGAGCCCCAGATATTTCTCCAAACAATGGCCTGACATCCTGCAAGAAGGGATAAGTTTATTTACCATTTCCTGCATTCGTGACACAACGATCGTCGATTCGGCACAAAGCTCATACCTCTTCGTTCCTCAGATTTCCCCAGCTTTGTCAGTGTACACACCTTCAACGAGAACGCGGAAAGACGTAGTTCAACATATTGCGTCTCCGACATACCATCCTGAATAACCCTCAGTCGCTAACCCACGGGTCATTTCAAACAACGTCAAAAAGTTACATTTATACCTCGCTATCGCGATTTTAGATATAGAGAATCGAACCTCATAACTAACCAGATATCCATGTCTAGATTAACAACGAAACGCCTTATTCCTAACTTCCAGAGCAAACGTGCCTCACAATCAGATGAACAACATCAAAAAATGTTCTGGCATCCTGATAAATGTAGCCGGACGCGAGGAATCGAACCATGGCTTGTGATGTTTCCCTATACACCACGATGTCCAATCGCCATGAAAAACAAGATCTAATCATTGCCTCAGCACCCAAGGAGACAAAAAAAATCACCCTAGTGCGAGATTCGGTCGGCCTTCCCAAAAATGATTCGGGTAGGTTGGGCACATTCAATTGAAAGACTCTACGAAAAATTTTCTTGCACTTGTTCTTTTCGATGGGGAATCGAACCCCGACTCAGTACTTAGTGTGTGCTGACTACCAAGCGGACGTTGCGGAATCTTTTCCTTAACTTACCATTATGACCAACGCTGTATTGAACACATTGGGCGTCAAGATGTCTCAATTGCTCGTCCGTGTTGCTGAACATTCTCAATTTCACTGAATCGAGGAACAATCATAGTTTTATACGGCACCACCTGAGGCTGTACTGATACTAACCTAGCGAGTTTTCTTCCGAGATACTGCAGTGTATCGGAATAAAGTGCACTCTGGGCCGCGTTAACCGGAATATAAGCATAGTCGTGAGTCACGGTTCTCCAAGAATTTACCTCCACTCCTTTGGCCCACTCTGAGTCAGCCTGTACCAGCGAAAGAAATACAGCACATTCCCCATCGCTGACAAGTCCCAGGGGATCAACGAATGCTATTCGTTCGCAGGGTTGACGACTATTGTGACACAATCCCGGTTTGACGAGACGACGACGAGTAGCCTCGACGTATAGCACAACGCGTGTTCCACCTGTGAGCCACCTTTACGTGAATGGAAGAATAATGAACGGATTTAGAGACTTCCGTTATGATTTAATAGCGAATTGGTATATAAAACCCACTGTACCATGGACCTGCCAGAGGTATGTTTGCTGATGAGAAACATCAACCCATGAATACTTCGTTTGAAGAAGTTGCGATTCACTACCGCATTGGCATGAAGACGGGAAGCAATAAGTATAGGTATCGACGAAGACGCACCCAGGACATGTCAATAATAGTTACTGCCCTTATCCTGCGACACAAAGCCAACGCTAAAAGTTTGAGTATCATTGAACGTCGAAGATTAAGGACCAGTGAGAAGGACATACAGATTGTCATGGGAGAAACGATAGCAATTGGGGGACACGTCACGCATACATCTGCGATAAAGTGAATGAGAGTGTAGATGAAGAGAAAAGACATACCTAAAAGGCTGATACAACATCACGTTTGCCTCCCATCACCAGAAATCCTGCTAGTATATCCAACACAGTTCGAGCGATAAGAACCTCGAGTCACTATAGTGATTGAGAGCTGGTATCGAAGCGGTTATGCATTGGTCCGTTATCATTTACCGGTGCTCGTGCATGATTTTACCGAATCGGGCGAAGCCAGAGGCATCCGGTGCCTGTGCTGATAGGCTACTGAGGGATGATGCTGAAAATGTTGGCCACGGTATAATGCCGATAGGATTGAAAACTCACCTGAATCTGGACAGTGCCACGAAACGAAGATCCAAAGACAGAGCTCATCAGCACTGCAGGTCTTGACCTGCTTGATCGACGACGCCAATCAGCCGGGGAGAAGACGGAACAAGAAAGGATGTGTCAGAAGCTAAAAGGGCGTTACTGAGAGACGTGGTAGCCGCGGGCAGGAAGGTGACGTCGCATTATGCGTGACAATCAGTGACGCGTCTTCCCCGCCTTCTCCGCTATCATCACTCTCCGCACACGACCCGCAAAGGTCTCTTTGCACACCATCCAGAGTCGCCCTTTATCTCTGCGTCGTGATCATTGATACGCTTCCACTAAACCTGGACATGGCAAATATGCCAGCCAGGGAAGGACTTAGAGACATAGCGACCTCCCAATACGGGCTCGGAGGTTTCTACGCCGGATGCGAGACGGGTTCGGTAATTTAAAACAGAGGAGGGAGGGAAGAGGCCGAAGACATTAAATGTGGTATGCTTCCTGTCATTGTTTCCCTAGCAAGCTGATTATGTACACATCTACACGCACCAACCTGCCCTCTCGTGTCTCGCTCGTCCGAAGGCAACTCTGTACTCTCCCTATTAGCACGGCACATTTTCCATGATGTTCTATTGGTATCTATGTGCGCTCTTCATCGTCCTGCATATTCATGAAGCCCAGACGAAGCCTCTGTGCACTTGCGCAAACAGAAGGGCGGTATGTAATGCCCTACGTTCTCCTTGGAGAATTCTTACGTAGTTGTTTCTTCACTCAGCCAGAACCAGGAACTTTGCATATAGACTCTGAGGTATAGATGATCGTTGCAAGCCGCACTGCTAAATATGCCGTGGTCGAATGATTCGTACATGGTCCAGAAGTCTTCGACGCGTCGGATGACATTGCGTATCTTATCCTTGTCAAATTATCTTGCCATCGTGTAACTAGTTCGTAGCTGAAGAATGCCACGAGTTGTAATTCTTATAAAGGACTGAGACTTGAGCGAAGGTATGCTTGCAAAGATAAGGACTTCATGTACCCACTTTACTGTTATAGTGCGTAATAACCGTGTTCTTCACGTGTATAGCTATATGTCGAGGATTCATTGACTTCACCCATCGCATGACCGGCGACAAATGCTTATCATGCATCGAGTATAACGCCAGTACTTGATAGTGCGAGAGGGATCACAAGCTGGGAATGCAGACGAAGAGGAAGGACAACAAACAAATTGCACCGGTCGGCGGAATCCACCTCCTATACCAGTATTTTCGTCATCGATTTCTTTGTATAATACTTGGATCTATGCTGCGATATTACTGTACATTTCGTACCTCAGCTATACACCTACTAATGAATAAAGTCCAACAGTAAGCCAGCCATCGGGAATCGAACCCAACTGATGCACACCATACCAGCTCTCAGATTTCACCGTCCAATTAGAACGAGTTTCCTCTTCTCCCCCTTCTAGAGTGCGAATAGAATGTATATCCCCGGAATTAAAATTCGCTGCATGCATAAAACCGCTAATCCACACAAGGAGTGACAAAAATGACATCAGTCTCTGGTGGAAGTATGGAAAGGGAATCGAACCCTTAGCAGGGCAGGGCGCGTAACCCTCCTTGGACATGATCACATCGGATACACGTAGCCTAATTTCACCACGAACCCACCCTCGGTGTTTTAACCATAAGTAAAGAAAAACCAAGTACACTCCCACGTGGAATTCAACCTCGGTGTTCATGCCTATATCGGGAATACCCATTGATCCGGAAACATCTTTTGCTCTTACCGTATGCTCACTTGCTCGGCAAATCACAGGTGTCTTCTAATAGATCACTCACAATACTAGAGTACATTCATTTCGGGTCCTTTTCCTTTATAACGTGCACGTTTTTGCGACTAAGTCACTTGCAAGATTTCAAGAACTGAAGGACAACAGTTTTACGTTTCGTGGAGAGTGCCAGACATGTCCGAGATCGAATATCAGACTTACAAACAGTCTGATGGGTAGGAAATGCGGCACTCCCAAAATGACAACACTCTCCCGTGTGCAAGGCAGGATGATACTCCCTGGAGATATGCATGCTCGCCGTCCAAGTCGCAGTGAAGAGTGCATGTCTTGATTTAAAGCCCACACATTGTGGCTCTATGTGAGTCGTCACCCCTGTATCTCTCCATCCGATCCTCATTCGTTGAAAACCGGTTCTTTATGACCTGTGAACACTGAACTGAATTATGTCCTGCATAGAGACGATCCCATGAGAGATGGCAAGTGATATTATTTCTCACTCATGGATAGCTGCCGTCAGTTCTTCACTATGGTGACAAAAGACATAATATGACAAGCAGTCGGAAACAGAATCGCATCTCAAACCCTAATGCTGCGAATCCAATATCAAAACCCAAACTTGACTTCCTATATTCACAAAGCATGGTCTGTGTCAGTGAGTAATAGCAAGCCCTCTCGTCTCATGGAAAAAAGACGAATTCCAGAATGCAATTGGAACATAGGGAATCGAACCTTGGGAATAAGCCGTCTTGACCGTTGCCTGATATCCATGTGAAATAGACGACGCCTAATGTATATATGTTTACTCGTGTATGCTGGATGCTTACAGATGCATTTGAGAAGTTCAATTCCTGCCTATATATCAAAATACGAGAAGTGCGTTTAAAAAGCAGTTAGTGTACATGCATAATGTTGAGAGAAGGAGTTGAACTTTCAATTACTGATGGCATTACTAGGTATGCCAATCGATCTTCAATTATCATATCAAATCAAAGTCTAACAACATGCCATGAATTGCGACATCAGAACCCAAATTCAAAGGACCTACGTATGTCTTAAGCGTTTTATTTCACAAATTTGTTGTTTTAAATAACTCTTTCTGCAATGGCCCACAACTGCCTTCAAAAAAAGGTAAAATGAGTCGCGCCATAGTCTATTTGCATATGGGGAATCGTACCCTAACTCAGTACTCAGTACGTGGCTGGCTACGAAGCCATACCAATGGTGGACATCGAATATCATCTTGTGTCGCTGAATTATCTTTGTTTCTTTACAGAGTCACATTAATTTAACTCTAACTCTATTATGTCCATTTTTTTTGCTTCTTTTCCCATTTACTCTCCTTCTTCTCACCCACCCACGGGCACTAGAAATTCTGCGTGGTCACCTGCGTGGTACCACGTGTGCGTGGCGCGTGGCCACGTGGGCCACGCAAGTCCTTAGTTGAACTTGAGTTGAACTTCCCTTGACTGTACATATATACTGTGCTATGATAAGAATGCTTCGTTAAACATTTCCTTGTATCTATTTCTTATTCTTCTGTAAACTGTCTGCAACAAATGGACCTTTGTTCAAAAATGTTTCAAAGCTCAATTTTTGTCAATTAAAGCTTTTATGCCCTCAAATCTCGGATTCCTAGGCTCAATTGGATCTTCTATGTGTCTGTCTATGATTATGAGAAGGATAAATATCGAGATTTAGGTACTCTCTCATTTTCCTAGCTTGAAGTCATTAATTCGAAGACATTATGACACTATGAACATCAATTCAACATCGATTTCGCATCAATTCCTCCTTGATTGTGCCAATACCACGAAATTGGTCATTTAATTTCCGCAAGAACAGCCCTCCCTTATGTACGGATATACCTTGGACCACGCAAGTGACCACGCTAGCAGACCATGCAGCCACGCAACCACGCAGCCACGCAGCCATACCACGCAGGCTGACCATGCACCGCCATGCTGACAAACCACGCAACCACGCTGACCATGCAGGCACCACGCTGACCCATATACGTTTGCCCTCAGAAAGTGTATCATTCTTATAATTGCCTCTTAATTCACTCGTTTCTTTGGTGTCATTCATATCAAGTATAGAACTCCGTATTCTTCTCATCATGTCCGCTTGACTGGGAACCCCACATTGTGTACCTTATTGCTTCTAGCTTGGCAGACCACCTCTAAAGCCTTTTTATACTGTTAGGATACTCGTAAAATTATTTACTTCAGCTACAATACTTTTGATGTTCTTGAACTTAGCAATCCAGTTTGAATGATATGTTCATGAATCATGATATTGACCATATTTTGAAGCATTTCAATACCACACTAAAGCCGTCATATTTAAACATTCAGGAACTCACAATTCAGCTGATTCTATGCAAGTACTAACAGAAAAGAACGGAACGCGTCGACTCAAGTCGCGTTTGATGGACTTGATCAACTTTTGATCGAAGTCCCGCAATTTGTCGACCACGCTAACGACCATGCTGATGACCATGCAGCCATGCTCCATGCAGCCATGCAGCCACGCAGGCGACCACGCTGAATTCTTCTTGCCCCCCACCCACCATGTCCATGTCCTCGCAGCAGAGCCCAAAATTGGTCTCACCTTCCCCGTCCAAAGACTTCCTCGTCACCACCCATGATGAGGTAAATAATGCTTCCGAACTGTGACAAGTACTTCACCTACTCACATCACGTCATCCCTCAGGACCTCGTTCAGTTCCTCCTCATCTTTTTTCCAAGCATGTCCCTACTAGTGTTGTGAAAGGCCAGGCCGGGCCAGGCTTTGGAGGCTTGGGCCGGGCTTGAGCAGGTTCAGGCTCGCAAATTCACGAGCCCGAGCCCTGAGCCCAAGCCCTACAAGGCTCAGGCCGGGCTCAGGCTTAAGCCCGGGCTTATCCCTCATAATACATTTCTGCCTATCAGGACTCATTAGATGTGAATATTCATTAAGATATAGCTTTACATAGTCTAATATATTATTTACTGAACCACACTGATCATCCACAAAGCTATCATTGCTCAAGTGGTCTTGTCATCATGGAGAAAACATATGTCAGTGATGTCATAACTGCTTTCAATTGATGAATAATTGCATACAATCAAGTTCTAATGAAAAGACATGGTAAGCTCATCTACAGGATAATACTAAGCTATGTTACATTCATAGAAATCAATCCCACAAAAGGATATTCACCCCTTCACCAGCCCAGGGCTTCGGCCTAGGGCTTAAGGCTTTCCTTAAGCAAAGCCTCAGCCCAAGCCTTAAGCAAGCCTTACTTGCAGGCCGGGCTTTTCAGGGCTGGGCCGGGCCGGGCTTGAGGCTTGAAGCCCGGCCTTTCACAACACTAGTCCCTACAGAGTATTGTCGTCTAAACGAATGATATTGATATCTGGGCAGGACGCTACGTGGATATTCCACCTCCCTTGTGGGAAGATATCAGTCCTCAGATCCACAACATCAGGATTGTCTTTCGTACCAGTAGGTTTCGTTCAGGGCTCCTCCTCGCCTTCGCCAGCTAAAAATAATTCTCCTAGGCCCAACTCAAACCCAACCTCCAAGCACCGAGACTCGAGTTCTCCCTTGCACAACCATCGGAAAAGCTGACATCTCAGAATACCAAGGCCTCACACCAATCTGCGAATGGTAACCCACCCTTCACAAAGTATGGACCGTGCCGGGAAGAGTACCAGGCATATGATCACCCCAAGCCGAATGCAAGTCTCAGAGTCGGTTTGCGAAACTCGTTGTTTACCTCTTTCTTCAGTAGCCGGCGCACGTTGTGGTGCGGGCGTCGCTCGTGAAGGCATGGTCGTTCTCTGCTGTGTACCTGAGTGTGTCAATTAGGGATTCAGAGTTTGGAGAGAGTATTGTGTGAGACGTGAATACTCACGAGGATCATACGATGACAGAGAATTTAATTGGTACTCGGGTATGGTACTTGTTCTGGGAGGCTGAGTAAGCCTTGGAATGATATCGCCTAACTTCATTCTCGTGTACTCATTCTCGTCCTAGACCTAAGTCAGGTGTAGTATCACCCTCACCACTCACGTCTCCCAAGGTCCCATCGTCCCATTTGACCCATCATCTCGCAAATTCAAGAGCAAAAACTCTCTGGGCATCGGTATTGCACACACCATGGCCTACCTCGACGATGCGCTCCTCGCTCTCGGTCTGCTCGTTGAAGCCAGGACATCCTTCATCATGTACGTTTTCTTTCGTTTCCCACTCATACCGCACTCTCTTAACCGCACTCAGATACTGGCTTCCATCGATCTCGAAACACGAATACATACTACTGAAGTTCCTCCCCCAAAACTCCTACCAACAAGCCGCCTCCCTTGAAATCGAGCACAAACCGGACATCGTCACCACCGTGTTTATGCTCTTTAAGCGGGTCTGTGAGGACGAGTTCGATGAATGGGATGAGGCACACTTAAGGATTTCTGATGGTGTCGCATTCTGGAGAGGTATTGTTGGGGTGAATGAAGTTAAGATGGGGGATGAAGGGCTATTTAAGGTGTTGGAATGGGGTGGGATGGAGGTTCATCCCTGAGGAGATGCGAGAGCCTAGTGCGAGACTGGATGGAGTATGTGTTTCTACAAGATCAGATGACTCATCTCTCAGTGTATTATACTGTGAGCAAGAATAGCAACCACTTTGCCTGAAGCCCTATGGTGCAGTCGCTCATACGTACCTATGATGGTGGTTCGATCCCCCCTTGCGTGCAATGTCCATTCCATTGGTAATTAGGAATTTTTTAGGCTGGATTTTCTCAGAGCGGAAGGATATTTCGCAGGGTAGCTCGAATTAAGTTGTCGGAAGGTAATTGTTTTTCCTCATTGCGCCTACTATTGCTTTCACTAAATTCAAGACGGCGGTGATATGGTTTTCCATCCATAACATATGAATCATTGGGTTCCTCCTCTCACATTTATCCATGCCTTTCTGTAAATATCTTCATCATGAAGGCACTTTATTCTTACAGCTGCGACACTGTAGCTTATATCACGAGCAGACCGTTCCAAGTACATATCACGTTCCAGGCAAAAGATTTCATTTGATCATGCATGTGGATTTGTTACATCTGACTCGGATTCTATACCACACTCCTTTACAGAAATAGAACAAAGCACAGATTTAGTAGTATTAGCTAGGGAGACAATGCAGAGGGACCTTGCGCGAGTTTCTCCTTTCTAAGTGCGCTAGTACAGGCAGCCGTCGGCGTTGATATCGCACATGATGAAGGAAGTAGAATCAAATCTACAGCTAGAACCGGAGAATTACATTGTATACAGAGAACTAATATCTTTCTTTGAGTCTTTACCCAAGAAATAATCCAAAAACTGGAAATGGAACCGTCAGAAGGGACTCAATGTGATACCCCCGGACATATCAATCCCGTTTCCCAAGTATCACAGCTGCCTATCCTATAATAATGCCTAGAAGACCCAGGAGCAGCGCGACGAGTGTACCCACAACGCCCTTAAGCCTGGTGACGTTATCAGAGAAAATCGAAATAAGTCGGACGGCTAATACGTACAACAATGCAACAAGCGCAAGTAATCCAGGAACAACAAGTTCCAGCGTGACGAGTAGCTTGCTCAGAGCCAAACCAATAACCGCCAAGAGCCCGCCTAGGCCTAAACCTGAGGTAGTCAGGCCTTGTGTAGTAGTGTTGATATCCTGCCATCGTCCATTAACACAAAATCAACGGCGGGCGGGCGGGCGTACCTTCATAATACCCACTGCGAGGGTAGCCACGTTGTTATCACTCTGCCTCTTGACGACGAGGCCTCCCGCTTGGAGGGAAACAATAGACGAGGTGGCGGCGTCTACGGCCGAGACGACTTGGTTGAGGAGGGGAGTGACCAACTCGTCGGTTGCGGTCTTGTTCGCTACGAGAGCATCTACTTTGAAATGAATACAATGTTAAACTGGACTATCTCATACGCGTACTAATCTGGGGGAGGATAGCGTCAGTGGTGCTCTTCAGGTTGTGAAGAACGTCTTCGACACTGCTGGGACCTGCTCGGGCGACGGGTGAGGCAGGACTTGCAGTGACGAGAGTGACGAGAGTAAAAGCGAAGAGGGCGATTCGGGAGAGGAACATTGTTATAGGGACAGATGCTTGTCGAGATAGAAAGCAGACGCTGCTATATATCCTAGACTTTGAACTCGTTTTATACCACGTTTGAGACAGTTATTATCAAAGCTGAAGGATGAATACGGAAGCTGTGAGTCCGAATAGAACCAGTATAGCAGTGCGGGTTGATAAATAAAAGTGCGAATGTGTACTCTGCGCATAAACACATGATTTTGTATACCAGATGGTCGTCCCGGTAGGAGTGATATCTCCGGCTTGACGTCCACAGATTTTTACGCTCCCTATAGTTAGCACCTAGCATTTGCTAGTATTCTAAAAATTCGCTGCACCAGCGAGGTCCTTGAAATTTCGAAAGGAGAATACGCAACTCAAGCAATATCTTCATCTTGTAGGGGAGTATCACCCAACATGGTTTAATTCACGTAAGCACATGGAGAGCATCATAGCTTTGAAATTGAATGACCCTACATTAAAGACAAAGGAGGATGGAGGGTCGCCGTTCATGAGATGATCGGCCTACATTCCGTTTACACCGGAGTTTGGGAGGAGAACGCACGCTATGTGGCGGCGGAATCTTCGGGTACTCAAATGGATAAAAGCGATCATGCGACCGAAAATCTTCAAGACCCGCATGGATCATGATCTTCGTTCAATATCAAACACCCTGTTCGTGTGACTTCTAGTTTCTCACACTGGGATTTCTGATATAGGATGCATTGCTAGGGCTATAGAGATGGTATTCCGTATATCTCGGCGGTGCGTCAATGTCTTCCCTCCGCGACGGCCGAAGTGAAGTACCCCCGTCATTAATAGGAGACAAGGATCCTGGAGACCTGGATCCTTGAGAGCTTCCGTGCTGGCGCTCCTCCAAGCGCTCCATCTGCACTCTCCATGCGGCGCTTTGTCCTTCAAAACACTTCCCTCCTTGGAGAGTGGGCCTGCTCTCAGTTGCTTCTACCTGGACATTGAATGGCGTAGGTGCAGTATGCATAGATGTGTCTCTGCGATGGGACGGAGGGAAGATGGTGAACGGTAATACTTTCCCAATATTAATACTTCCTTCAGTATCGTTGAAACTTTGTGAACAACGGCGGTAGAGGATGTATGTTCCACAGGTGAGGACTTCAACGAAGACTAGCATGCTGATGACAACTCCTGCCACTGCACCGCCGGACAGATCTCTGGATGGAGAAGAAGCCTGAGAATTGTCATTGAACCTATTCTGGATGTCGGGAATAACTCCAGGGTTGGATTATCGAAGACTACTAACGTATAAATCGCATAATCGAACGCGACATACGAGGAATATGAACCGGTAGTCGCAATGAGAAATATATGTTCCCCATCTCCCAGAGAATCGTTGCTATACGCAAGTGTGTTGTAATAGAAATTAACAGTATCGTCCGTCTCGTGGCGGAATCCTCCAGCAATATTCCCATATAGCAGAAAATTACACACTGTCCGGGTGACGAGACTCGTATTTGCAGGATAGTTGGACAGAATGAGGTAAATGTATAACGCCGTTCCTACAAAAGATGAGCACACGTTATAGCACCCACAGCGATAAATATCATACCATTGAAAAGAAACCCATATATTCTATGACAGGAAAGTTGTCGTGGTCCACCTTTCGTCAAAGGCTTTGGTTCGATCTGGCAAGATTGCACAGCGGTTGCATTGATCTTCGTGCTTCCAGAATGGCTCCGCGGTATTATTGGGACTATTTAAAGGCAAATATCCCACTTGCAGACCTGTGACAATATCGCCAAGACCATTATCTATCGTGCGGTTCGTACCAGTGGTGGAAGAGAGTGAGATCAGATAAAGAAGGCCAAGAAGGTGTTCATCAAGGAGGGAAGTGAGAGGAATTCTTCAAGTCGAAGGATATGGTACGCTAAAATGTGGACAGAGGGGCGGAGGAAAACTGATACGACATGAGATTCCCGTTGCTTAATTATGGTAGTCACGGTGCGATACAAACTATGTTCGTCAACACGGCCTTGAAAACGCCGCTTTCCTATCGGCAAATCATAGTAAGCTAGTCACTGGAACACTTGTTCTAGTTTAAGCTAATATGAATAAGATGATGAGCGGAATGAGACAAGAGCGTACCCTCGTGTCCTGAAAGATGATCATCCCTGATACATCCGGATCAAACTTCAATGGCAACACATCATGAAAGACCAGCTGAGCAGGTATATTCGCAAGGGTCGGACGGTACGTTGTACTGGTCATGTCTTGTACACAGCGGACGAGAGACACGGAACGATAGCACAATTGGTCCATTCTTCCACAAAGACGCCAGGATTTGTGGTCAGTCTATAATCAACTTGAGCATATCGTCGATGGTGTGATATGTCAGCTCTCCAACGAGAAGGAGACTGAAGAGGCAGGAACAAGAAAGGATGTCCATGGGAGTGCGTAACACAAGCGCTGTATGTTTCATGCTTTCTAGTGTACATCTTATTGAGCCAACCCACCAGCCACGGAATAATAATCAAATCAACCCTGTTTACCCGTGATAGTGGAGTACAATGTGGGTCGGATTTCGCTCTGGGACTTTGTAGTTAGTAATATGCGAAGATGATTCTCAAGTCGATCCAAATACTTGATCATAGACATTGCCGTGTTACTTAAATAATAGATACTCCTAAAACAGGTATGAAGGAGTTCCATTGCGATTCTTCTCTGATGCACTCTTTGATGCTGATGAGAAAAACATTGTAAGATTGTCCGACGATAAATCGTCGAAATAATATACCATCTTCTTCTCCTGCGGCCAGCGTTCAGGCTTTGGTTTAGTTTCACTGACAGCGGTTAGTTGTCAACGCACTTTTCTTCTCACAAGGGAGTGAAGTTGGGAGACATGCGGGATTCCCTTGTTTGTTCAGGAAACTTTATCGTAGTTTACCATCTTTCATAACGAAGCTTCGCGGCATACAGACATTCTTCCTAGAGAACCTTCATCAGTTTTACAGCAGATCTTTGAGAAATGATGATATGAGAGGCCTGCATGAGGCTTTAGTGAGTGACAAGACGGTGAAGTACTTGCAAAGATATCTCAGGCATAAGGAAGCGGACATAAAACCTTCTGACTTTGGAACAATAACTTTAATCTGATCGGGAAGTGAAGACGTCAATTTCCTAAACCACAACATTGCGCCGTTACCTAAGGAACCGATATAACTAGGCTATCTGTTATTCGAATTTTGTCGAATAAGCTTTGACGTTATTTAAAGAGAAGAAAATAAAATTCACTGAACTCAGCTATCGCACGACATTCTCAAATCCCGTGGCCCGATTGTGAACTGCAAGGAGCTGATTCTTGCAGACGCTTTTTTGCTTTATTCTTGAACTCCGGGATCACAAGGCATCTATATAGGCTGTAAATGTATTCTCGGAATGGTCTTCTTCTTCTTGGCTGTTGCGTAGAACCTGGGCCGGACATTCGATAGTCGGAGTAAATGGACTGAAGAAGCCAAGAGGCCGCTATTTTGGTATCGCTGGCATCATTGATGGGTTTACCCTTCTTCGGCAACGGCGGAGGTATATAAAAAGTGATATGACCAATATGGAAACTGCCAGGACTCCCACTGCAATGGCACCTCCGAATGCTTTTACTAAATTCGAGGACGATGAACCCGCCGAAGACGAAGTCGCTGGCGAGGAAGGCGTTGGTGATGATACCGAGACAGAGGTGCGCGGTGGGGTTCCGAAAGGTTCTGATGTAGTTGATCTAGGAGCTGCAGAAGAAGGCACTGCTGAGGAGAGGGACACCGATTGACTTGAAGTCCCGAAGGGTTCTGACGTCGTCGACGCAGGGTTTTGAATAGTCGGAAACGTGATAAACGCCTGACTGTTGCTGAGAATACAGGTCAGCATGAAAAGAAGCGAAGACAGGAAAGACGTACGTGTAAACAGCGTAATCAAAAATAACGTATGATGAATCACTCCCGGTGATCTCTATGAGCAGCGTATGGTCACCATCGTTCAAAGATGCATTGCTATACGCCAGAACGTCGTACTGAAATTGATACGTTCCATCTGTAACATGGCTGTAGTGTCCCACTACCTTTCCATCCATCCGGAAATCACAGATAACATCGCTCACTAACCCCGTACTCTTTGGGTAGTTTGAAACAATCAGGTAGATGTATATCGCCGACCCTGAAAAGTAGTTAATACACCCAAGATGCCAAGGTGAAAGACGACTCGTACCATGAAATGTTAGTCCAGCGGTCGTGTTCTCTAGAGACGAGTAGTATGTTGCACCAGTCCACGTGCCATTCATCGCGAACGAGCGGTCCGGTACAATGGCGCAGTCACTGCATTGGGAGGCATTCCTCCACACGAGCGTGTTTCCATTCGAAGACTGACCGGCAGGACTATAATCTACTTGGACCCCTGTTGACTCATCCCCAAGCGTATCATCAATAGTGTGATTTATGAGCTCTCCTTCGACGAGCGTCTGCTGCAGAAGAATCAGAGTTAATGAAAGGAGCGCCATGGCTCCAACATGGGTGACGGGTGCGATAATGTAGCGGCCAATTTAACGGCCGACATGTCGGCCTTAGTCATGTTGCGAGGATGGAACTGGCTTAGACTAGAAATGATGCCGACGGCGAGGCAAAGATAGCAACATACTGAATTTATAGAGTAATGCGTTTCTCCGAGTACGTGATATTGTGGATCAAGAATTTCGGGCTAACCAGGATACGTAATCATGGGGTCCAGGAAATGATGTTGTCGTGAGCCAGAATATTGCTGGTTATGGCGACGTACTGGACGGCGTACAATTAAACGAGATGACATATGAGTAGCTTCAGACGTACCATTTCCGGTAAAGTACGCATATAGTGATCACAAACGAGTTATTCATGGGGAAGAATTGATTCTTTTAATGGAAACCCTATGATACAAGCGGCAGGCCAGTACGAAGAAGGGATGGTTTCACTCTCTGCGTGGTAACATAATCAGCACATTAGTGTTATACCAGCACGTGAATTTCTATTTGATAACGGAGAAGGGAAGGAAGAAATGGTCGTACCCTAAGGGCTAAGAGAAAGCTAGAGTTGGCACAATCTGTTTGTTAACAGGATATCTTCATCTAGAACTGGATTTTTTATTTGAATTAGTTTTTTGGAGCGAAGCAAGAAAAGAAAGGCACGAGACTCACACGCAGCATTTGCATCATATCCATTCTCCATGCCGCTGCATCCTAGTCACGGTGGTGCGTAGTTCATTTTTTAATTCTGAGGTTCTTATCAGTGATAGGTTAAAAAAAGCAAATGTGTCGATGTGATGAAGGTTCCCGGTCATAGAATAGATGCTGGTCACAACAGCGTTAGTGGCCTGTGGTGGTAACAGATCAAGGAGACCCAATGTTGGAATTTCCCAGTCAATTCAGGAGACCATCAAACGATCTAATGATCGTCGACAGAATGAATCTAGCTCTTGGGGACCGGCATCGTTAGAGGGCGCCGATCTATCCATATGGATGGGCGTATCATGGTATGGAGATCCCCCCTTTTTTGAAACGCCTCATTTAGTCACTTGCGCCGCCTTTCTCTAGATCATCGATTCGATGTCTATTCCATTAACTGCTCGATAAATTAATGCACACGATGGTGCGGCTGGTATGGGATAACATTATTGATCGCTGCAGATATAAAATTTCTTCCAGCGACTAGCTACTCGATCTTGTCTTGCAGGATGACATGCGGAGCATTTTCTAAGGTGCCAGTGCATATAACAAGCCTTTATTTTACATATGTTGTGAGTTGCAAACATATACACGACGCTGGCTGGGCAGCGAAGCCTGTTCAGGAGAGTAAGTGTAATAACCCTGGTCTAAAATGCACAAGATCGCGTGGAAAAGCACCCAACACATATCACTCAAACGCGGCAAACGCAAGAGAATGCAAAAACGCATCGGAAAAACGCGAAATTCTCCCGGCCCCTGCTGGAGCAGGAACCAGAGTTGTTAACGTGTCGGTGGATGACTCGGCGTCGTAATGGAATACGGCTGCAGGCCGCTGTGGCATCTGATTAGATGGATGGAAGAGATCACTGGGATGCGCCATCATCGATGGAGTTGCTGGTCCGGTTGGCCTTCGGCGTCGCCGGCGAAGGTAAAATACCAGTAACGCCGCAAAAATAACGAATGCCAATACTGCTACTGCAATGGCGCCTCCGAAGGTTTTGGCTAAGCTCGAGGACGAAGTGGCGGCCAAGGAGAGAGCGGAAGGAACTCCTGATGAAGGAGAAACAGATTTACTTGAAATAAACGAGGCTTGTTGTGTGGACAGGTTTGGTAGCAGGACAGAGGACTGCGTGTTCCTTCAAGTAGTCAGTATGAAATCGAGCGACCATACCAACGACGTACGTATAAACAGCATAATCGAAAATAATGTATGACGGCTCCGTCCCCGTAGTCTCGATGAGCAGCGTATGATCTTCGTCGCTCAAAGATGCATTGCTATACGCAAGAACATCGTACTGAACATGATACGACCCGTCAGTTTCATGGCTATAGCTCCCCACGACTTCTCCATCCATTCGGAAATCACATATCGCATCGCTCACAAATCCCGTGCTCTTTGGATAGTTCGAGATGATGAGGTAGACGTATATCGCAGAGCCTGGGAACGATATTTAGTCTAAGAATGTCATCAGAACGAAAACGACGGAGTGTACCATGGAATGCAAGCCGAGCAGTCGTATTTCCAAGAGACGGATAGTATGTCACCCCAGTCCATGTGCCGTTCATTGCCAATGAGTGGTCCGGCACGATGGCGCAATCGTTGCAATGGGAGGCGTTCTTCCACACGAGTTCGCTCCCGTTAGAAGGCTGACTAGCCGGACTATAGTCTACTTGGAACCCAGTCAGCTCATCCCCGAGCATATCATCGATGGTATGGTTGAACAACTCTCTCGCAACGATGCAGTTGAGGAGTAGAAGGAGAAGTAGAGTGAAGAACACCATGGTGCTACAAAGAAGACGCAGCGAATTCCGTCGCAGACAAACTCACGGCAGCGATGTCGTGAGAAACGAAACAACTTCGCATAGAACTCATGGCAGTGGCGAGGTAAAGATAGGCCAGTACTGAGTTTGTAGAGCAAAGCTTCTCCCGCAGTACGTGATATTGTGGATCAAAGAATGTCTGGCTGGTGAAGATACTTGATCATGGGATCCCGGAAAAGATACAGCCGTGGCACAAAATATGTAGACTGAAGGAGGAGTAAACGGTTTGCTCATGGTAACAGGATATCTATGTTGCAGTTAAAACAAGGTGATGCAGGTGATGGGGTGTAGATGTACCATCGGTCGTAGTAATGCTTATGTTTTGATCAAACGACCGAAACACGGCAACGAAGAATCGAATTCACTTATCGAAGCCCCGTGTTCGCGAGCATCAAGAACTCATGGTCCTGGTAAAGGAAATCCGGTAGGCCGGCGCGGAAAAAATGGCCGTTTACTCACTTAACAGTTGATGACACGTCGATATTGAGCCCAGTGTGAGCAGACGGTGTAACGTTGCGCTACACATCTAAGAATCGGATCGGTGGACTGCAAGCCTGGGTTTGGGCTGGCCTACGTTTGGAGTCGATGTATCACGTTGATCTGTCCACAAGATCAGAGTTATGTGAGCATTGGAAAGAAAATGCTATATACTGGTTTTGACACAGCCTTCGCTGTCCGCAGCGATGCAGGGCGTGGTTACCTGGGCGTTCTGACTACTACAATGAGATTATTCAGGTGGCGTAGTTGCATTAATCGAATGAAATGACATACGAAACAAATTCGGCCGAGTCCGGGGAGTGGGTTCAAAGCCGGTCGAAAGGAAAAGCCAAAGAATTTGAGAGAATTCACGTAGTGAACTTTTTCACGGGAAGATTCTGAGCGAATATAATGAATCTTTGTCGTGTTCGAGTGTATGAACTGTGACGGTCATTAAATAGATATACGCTTAGAGAAAATGGAACCATACCGGCGTTGTAGAGGCGATAGCAGAGGAAAGACGCATCTCGTCGCGAGTTGAGCAGGAAGCGACCTGTTCACAGGAAGGTACGTGAACATTGAGTCGGGACGTGTTCATGGAATAAATCCATACCAGTGAACTATCGCTACTGGCTTACGGAAGGAAAAAATATTCCCTTTGATTGGAGGAGATCGCTCTTTCTCAGACTGTACTATACGCTCTGCGCTGAAACACCCATAATATCAAAGCCACGCCAGACAGGGAAACTGATCCGAACGCACTAATCCTTTCAAACATATTTCCTCTATAGCCAGAGAATCGTATGTTTCGCTCCTTGATAGCGTGAAGGGTTTGAGACTTCCGTTACTTAACGATCGGTTCTTGCTTGCTTAATCTCATGAGGGCCGATGACGATGCTGGTATAATTGGACGGTCGAGCATAGGTGAACGAGTGGCAAAGAATCCTGCGGGTTCAACAACAGCTCTAGATCCTTATGCGGAATCAAAGAAACCGTGGGCTGGAGATCGTTCAAAGGGAGAAAACACGGCGCTTGGACTGATAGTGCGGTACGATAAGCGGCGTTGTGGTTGATCAACGAAACGAATACCTCTAGAGGGAAAGATCCGGAGCCAGTCAGCCTTTGAGTGAAGTAAAGAGTGAAAATTTTACCTCTGACCAATGATGTTTCGTCCTGATCAAGTGCCGCGGAGGGCTACTGTCCTTCATTTTTGAGCTGTACTGGGACTAGTACCGAGGCATCGAAGATAGAACGTCCTTGAATATCGCGTTTTGGCGCGTGATGGTGGTGGTCGGAAAGGAAACCACCACCGGGCCGGTCTCCGAAATGTCGGTTGATCTCTTTCCACTAGGAGCTGGTGACGTCAAATCTCTGCGCGGGGCCATACTCGATACTACGTTTCCGTCGCTAGATGTCATACCATGGCCGTCTTGTTCTGGGTCGCAATGTATG